GGCTTCATTATATATTGCTTATTATATCTATCAATTTCAAAATATATTTATATATGATTCAAAAAAAGAATCACGGTGTTTGTTTATGTTATTGCCATGGAAACGAATAGACTGTTGAAGTTAGTCGACTGAAGGAACGAGAAATCGATACAGTTTTTATTCGTCAATAAAACTTGTTGCGATCGAAGCAATCACTTGTCTCTTTTTAGTGCCATCTTTTTTCATAAGGTTATTTATATGTACGCAGGAAACAATTATCAGCCGACAGTCTTTTTATAGTTTTGAATACAGTAAGCAAACCATTATCCGCGGAATTGATTGAGTTAGGCGACTGTTCTGGACTGTCACAAAAATGTCAACTGAATTTGTTTTAGCGTGTTAAAGACAAGTTATCATTAATTTTAACAACATTTTGTCAATTAAAGTAAAAGAAAAAAAAAACTTTCGCATATTCGATTAAATTATCTTCATACAGAATCTAGACAGAAAGTCTAGGAACAGAACATATCTAGGGACAGAACATAACGCGGCCAAAAACTTTATCGAACAAAATATCTTGGAACAGATTATCACTCTGATAGAAATCAAAATATCGACGAACAACGCATCATTCGGATGGAATTTTTTCCTAACAAAATATCTTGGAACAGATTATCACTCTGATAGAAATCAAAATATCGACGAACAAAGCATCATTCGGATGAAATTTTTCCCTAACAAAATATTATGGAACAGAATATCACTCTGGTGCCCGCCGTTTATTAAAATCACATTCGTTTTATGCTCTTTTGATTTTATTAAGCGGCTGATTTTATTAAGAGGCGATTCAACATTTGAAAAAAAAACACATTTTTACGATATATTCTAAATGCACACACTTTAAAAGCTGAAATAGTGACCACATTAATGCTTTATTTTAACTAATTTAACTATTTTAATAAAGTAAAACCCTACATAAGATTAAATTTACAAAAGTTTTGCAAAAAACCGATCAATGGTTGCTTGAGGTGCAGTATTTAAAGTTAACTTTTCAACATCATTTGAGAGTTTATAGAAGTTTTTATAGTTTTCGATATTCCTCCTCTTTGTTCTAAAGCTTGCCGCAATACATTAAGTGCTTTTCTGACTTCCATTGAAGATGGCACTGATGAGTTTATTTCATCTTCTAAGTCTGATTCCTCCATTTCTTGATGGGAAATAACTTTGCAATTTTTGATGTCTGTAATAATTTCAGAATCAGATTTTTCTCCTGATGTTTGCAGGTTATTGTCAATAGCTACGTAACATGAAAAATTCTCGTCCATTTCATTTTCTTCCTAGCTGATCATTTCTTCGAAACAATTATGAGCCCCATCTCCATTGAAGCTTCACGTTGACTACATTTAGGAAGCTTATCATAGTTTTGCAACACTTCGAATTTATCTTTAAGACTCAAATCCTTCCTTTTCGGCATGCTGATAAAATTTAACACCAAACGAACTTAAAAATGATATGTGCTCTAACTATAATTTACTCAAACGGCTTAAATAATATGGAACATGTGCACAGACAGTTTTTGGAAATCTATTCATGTTCTCTGTTAAGATAGATAACAAAAGAAACTTCTCTCCCTTCTATGGTTCATTCAATAAAAAGTAAGATAAGAATTCGACCCCCTGTTGAGTGAGATAGGTTTCTCCAAACTTCATTCAAGTCAAGAAATTGACATCGATAAATTGATTTCTATGAACTCGCTGCTTACCACCCACATTTTTCTCTCTCACTCTTACACTATGTAACTCTACACTATGTATATCGCAGGAAAGTGCTAACCACACCTGTTTCACAGGTTTGTGAGTAACTGTTGCTTCTTCTAAAAAAATCTTTAAACTTTGAAAAAATAAAATTTTATAAATAAGAGCAAAAAAAGCTGAAATATTGCACTTTTGATTTTATTATGCAGTCAAAATTTTGATCTTAAGAGGCGACGGCATTGATTTTATTAAAGGATGTTTTTAACATGTATTAATATTGTAACGATTCGGTTCTTGCCGATTTGATTTTATAAAGCGGCTGATTTTATTATCCGGTGATTTTATTAGCGGCGGGCACTGTATCTATATGAACAAAACATCATTCGAATGGAATTTTTCCCTAACAAAATATTATGGGACAAAACATCACTCTGATAGAAATCAAAATATCGGTCAACAAAGCATTATCCGGATGGACTTTTCACAGACAAAATATTATGGGACAGAACATCACGAGAACAGAATCTTTCCCGGACAAAATATCATTGGCAACAACACTCAGACAAAATCTTATCCGGGCAAAATATCTTGTCACATGAACAGAAAATTTCTCGAATTAAATATCTTGGAGCAGATTTTCACGCAGACGGAACCTTAACCGGTCAAAATATCACGCGAGCAGAATTTCCCACCGCCTAAACATAGTTGGACAGAATATCACGCGTAGAAAAATTTTCCATACAAAATATTATAGGACAGAACATAACGCGAAAGAATCTTTTCCGCACAAAATTTTTTTCGAGACAAAATATCGCTGAGCAGAATTTCGTACTAGCAAAAAAAAAAAAAAAAAAANGACGTACTAGAAAAAAAAAAAAAAAAAAAATTCACGGGATTGAATTTCACGTGGAAATAAAATTTCAATAAAAGGGATTCGTGCAATTTTATTGGACAGAACATCACTCAGACAGAATCTGTTCCGGATAAAATATCTTGTGACGGAGTGTCACGTGGACAGAATCTTAGCGAGACAAAATATTTTTGAACGGAACATCACGCAGGCAAAAACTTTTTCAGGCAAAATATCGTGGGGCAGAACATTACGCCGGAAACTAATTTTTCCAAACAAAATAAATACCGTAAGACTGAATTCAATCGAACATAAAATTATCCCGGGATTGAGTCTCAAGTAGAAATAAATTTTGTAATACAAGGAACTTCATGCAAATAAAAATTTCCAACAGTAAAATCTGCTGTAGAAGGAATATTAGCCAAGTTTTTAAGTACCATTAACCGTGAGATTTTGTATTTTTTTATGTATTCAAACTTTTGAGGAATTTTCATCATTCAGTCTGAAGTTATTGTTTAAATTATAAGGAGCAAATTTGAGCAATCTTATAAAAAATATTATTAAAATTGGTAAGGAAAAAAGTGAATTGTAGCTAAAATTATATTGTTCTGGACTATTTTACTGTATATTTTATTGATTTTTTGAATAAAATTTTTTTTAATCTAAAAAAATCAATTGTTTTTAATTAAAAGCTCTCATTGAACATTTTGTAGAAAATTTGAAAATCGATACATGCACCAATGAGGCATAAATGCAATTCAGAACATAAACATGTTAAATGTCTTCTAAGGATTATTTTCCTATCAAGTTTAGTTATTTATTGAGTCAATGAACATTTTTTACTGAAAATTTTATAGCCTAAAACAACACATTACGAAGGGTTCAAGGAATAATTATCGAGTTCTATTTTTCTTGCAAGTTAAAAATCGATTATTAAAATCAGTCAATTGTAGAAGATAATTATGCTGCGAATTCGCTTACAGCAGATTGATCACGCAATGGCAAAAGTTTTACATCATTGCAGTGAGTGTAGAATAATGCAGAGAGATATCGGAATGTTACAACCCTGAAGTCCATCAGCGAACACAATGAGAATGTCGACTTATTTTTTTTAAAAAAAATTCTGTTAAATTAGCTTTAGCTTTGGACACTTTCAAATAGCACAAATATTAGATAATTTTCTTGCATCTCTTAAAATAATCGCTATTAAGAAAAGAATTAGTTGAGAATGGGGTGAAAAAATTTATAAAAATTAATTGGCTAATTCATTCTAAACATTTTTTTATGAATTTTTTCAATAATCTTTTTTTTTTAAATTTAATTTTGAAATTGAGTGTAAATTGATTTCACCACCAAAATTTGTTTCCGAAAAGTAGCCACTACATTTGGAAAGTAATCTGTTATTAGTACATTAAAAAGAAAATATTGTAGTTAACTATAATTGCAATAAAATAGTGGCGTTTGTGGTAAAGTACAAGAAATTGTAGTTTTTCCGACCACTGGCCAGGTATAGTGCGACTTTGAGGAGAACTACTTCAAACTAAAAGTCTGTGGTTGTCTGTTGCTATGGTAACAAGCGAGAGCACATCTCTAATGGGGGTGAAATGGAGGAAAGATGGTGTCCATTGGTTTACTTACGTCCTAACTCTATTGGTTTACCCTCGCCCAAAACTCACTCCACAACCCTATTCAAAGTGACTTTTCCTCGTTACCATAGTAACCGCCACGACGCAAGAAGAATGTCTGGAGGAGTTCTCCTGAAAGCCACACTATATACGACTAGTTCAACGGTTTGCATGCAGTTGGACCAGGTTTACGCCAGGTTCAAACACATTGCATGCAGAAGTGAAAAAATGCCAGGGACAACCTCCTCGATTACTCGCTTCTTCTGAAGAATGCAATCACAAGTGGGATTTTTTTTTTCTTTAGATGAAAGTGTATATATAAATATAGTATTCTAAATCTAAAATTAAAATTATTTTTGATGTAAATGTAAGCACAAAATGATTTATGGTAAAAATGTATTATTTCCATAATATATTATTTTTCTTAAATACAGAAAATATTTACATTTAAATGACCTAAAAATGGGGAGCAAAGACTGGTGAGCGATTGCAAAAGATATACTTAAACAAGACTAATGAGAAAAAAGTGGTCGTAGCGATCCAAATTAAACTGCGTCAGTAGTTTCGGGGGTTTCGAATGATAGCGAGCAAGAGTGGAGCTCCCGAGTACAAGAAAATCAAGTTCGATAATTTGAAATTCGATGATAGCTGCTGAAAGAGTACCAAATTGGTTAATACGAAGAAAATGTCAGTTACCTAATTTTTTTAATATGTATCTTTGCTCTTTATTACTTGTTTATCTTTGTTTGTTCATCTTTCTACTGTTTGTCTATTTGTTTGTTTATTTTTCAGATATGACTCAGATAAAATAAGAGGTTAAAAAAAAATATGGGATGTGGGGCCGCAAAAAGCACAGCTGATGTGGCTGCACCAGGAGAGGAACCCATTTCATGCAGTGTCACACAAATCAAGGATTTGGCGCCTCTAGAAGTATCTGATACAGGAGGTAGACATTTTTGATTAGTGAAACATTTAACATTCGAACTGTAATATTTTCCTAGTTTTTGCTACTCTGGAATTGTCATAAATCACAAGGTGTCCCGAAGTGATAGCTTTTATTAGGGAGATTTGGCACTTCTGCGTAGCATCTCGTTCGTTCACGTAAAGTGCGCAAAATAAAAAACAGGCCACCCTGAATAACTTTTGATCTAATGATCGGATCTTTACGTTCTAGGACTCAATCTTTAAGATAGGAAGAGGCGACCTCAAATATGCTAATTATACAGTTTCGAAAAAGTCGTGTTTTTAAAGCTAATTTCTCAGGAAATATTTAACCGATTTTGCTCAAATTTTGTTTTTTGCCCTTTGAAATTACATTCTTTAAAATGATACAAAACATTGTAGACCTTGGAATTTAAAAGTTTTCCGACTATTGTTAAATGAAATAGTAAAAAATAATAAATATTTTCTAGAAGTTATATTCTGCATGGAATTATCTTTGTATAAACGCATGTTACAATTGTGTGCAAAAGTTTTTCTATTCGCTTAAGAAATTCTCGAGGTATCGTGAATCACGCAAAAAGTAAGGGGTTCAAACTTTGGATCGCTCCCTTGACCGAATCCCACTTTGAACATAAGTGGAATTTATCTCTTTATTCTAGGTGTCTTGAGTTATTAGGGTGACATTGACCCAGCTGTATGTTGAAAACCAATGTGCCAAGGTGATTATTAGAAAATTTCGGTACATTAGGCACTACGAGTCTTATTCTCTTTTTTTTTAAAGAAAAATAGAATGACGATATTTGTTTTCTCGAAGAAGTGACAATAGTTATTTTGTCACTTTGACGAAATTTTCGTTCGAAGCATAATATCAAGAAACAGTTTCGTCAAATACGAAGAAATTTTCGTGAAATTTAAGTATCCATATTTTACAGTGTGTGAACCTTGGAAAAATATTTTTCTATCAGTGAAATTAACTCTTATTCAAAGTATCTAAAATGAAAATCTAAAAAATAAAGAAAATGATAATAATAATTTGCAGTATGTAGTATTATATAAAATATCATACGAAACGTAGTACAATATAGAAAGTGTGTAACTCAACAGCATGTTGATTTTTGTACAATATTTATAACTATGAACCTTATATAAGGATAGTAAAGCATTTTATGTCAATACATGAAATGGTAGTGATGAAAATATTAATTAGTGCTGTGAATTCCGAAAAAAAAAATTCGTGTCCAATGTAGACTCCCTCTTAACTGGCATTCGTTTAACTGAAAGAAGAAGAAAAAACTATTAATCGACAGTTTTAAGTAAAAATAATAACAATAAACGAACAAATAAATAAAAATAACAAATCCAACTTTTCCTCAAAATGGATGTTGTACGGAAAAAAAAAAAAAAAACTAGGTTTTATTATTGGAAAAGCTGGCGAATCAAGCATGTAAGTCAGCTTATTCTTTCGTGGATGACTCTCATTGTGTGCCATCTCTTCACTTGCTTTGCTTATTAATTGTTGAAATTATTTCTTAATTTCACCACTATTTGCCATGCTTTTTTTAAAGCATTATTTTGATTGATTACACTTGTTCATACCAATTCAACCGTTTCTTTTTTTACTTAAGTCTTCCTTTTTGATTTCACCCTTTGGCAAAATGGGTCTTGGTTTGAATTTGATGTCGTCCTCACACTTTTCAACTAGAATAATCAAGAGTAATAATAAACAGTGCGCATGCGTCGTCATTGCATGCGTTGCTATGGCGACAGCTTCTGTTTGATAATTTTTTTAGAATTCTTTTTTTTTTTCACTTTTAATTTTGTTATGCATTAAGTTGGTGAGTTTTACTATTATTGTTTTCATAAAAAATACATTGTTGTAAATTCGATTTTTTTTTTTTATAATTTGTGCGTTTTCCTTCTTTTTAAAATTCATATATTATTGTTATTAATTATTGTACCAAACATTGAGTTAGAATCAATGTCTTACAACTCCAGAAGGAGTGCTATGTTCTTGAATAAATATCAGTGATAGTTTTTCATTTCACTGATTTAACTGGATTTCGTTTGACAGATCAATGCATGTTAAAATGGAGTCTACTTTAATATTTTGCATGTTAGTGTGGAGTAGGATCAAGTAGTTCTGGAGTTTATTTCTGAAACAAAAATGGCGTAAGGAATCATAATTTCGGTATTCCTAAAATCACAACTTCAAATAAATAAATAAAAGTCTAAAAAATTGTTTATGCTTTTGTAATTGTTGGTAGACATGTCGTCGGTGAACCTTTTATTCTGAGCATAACAGAAAATTCATGTTTAAGGAAACGGACATGGAATTTGATTCCATCTTTCAAACTTAGGAAAATTTTTCATTTTTAAAAGAATGAACTAATGGATCAAAATAAATTCGCAATGTGATGTCATCCATTTAACTAAATCACTTAGTATATTTTTTAAAACTAGTCTTTTTTAACAAGATATTAAAAGTCTACAGTTAGTTTTACAAGGTTGTCATGGGTTCTAAAAATTTATATTAGAGGTATTAAATTAACATTGTACGAATTTATATTTTTGTTTGAGACCACTTTACCGTTTAGAGTTCTGAATACGAAGGGGTGTCTGAAAAGTTACGTGGGTAATATATTCAGCCATCCAAAACCAGAAGTCTGAGAATTTGCTCCTTAGTTCTAACGTTTCTGTTGGTACCGTCACTATTAATTGTTGATCTCATATTTTTTTTTTTTTTCAATTTACTTTTGAAAAGGATTTTAAAACATTATATATTAAGAACAGCGATTGAGGTGCATCTCGTATATGAGCATACAAAAAAAAAATTTTTAAGTGTTTGATTCAATTTTCTGCACTTTCATAAAAATTAATAAGCAACGCAAAGGAAAAAATTTTTTGTTTAAATATACAGCTTTTCACATCTTTCCTTCTTTTGCAATGCATGGAGGTTATCCACGAATCTTTTGATCCTACTTCACAACTCAACTCAACTAGGCTGAGACTGCATAATTTTTGTGCAAATCCCGATCCTTATGTTGTTGTCTTTTTTATATTCCAAGCTCATCCACCAGAAAAGGAACGACGCAAACCTATAAAACAACTATTAACATTACCAGGACTGATACCAGAGCCTCCTGGTGAGTTAGAAATGAAATATCAATTTTAAATAATTAAGCCGAGTGTGTGAAAATCAAAATGATGCCTTCTGTTTTAATATTTGTAAACTTACAGTAGCATTCACGAACAAGTTTTAGTACCCTAGAAAATGCAATAGCATTTTGCGTTTAACCCTGTATCGCCCTAAAAATTGCTTTTTAAGTCAAAAAATGATTTACTCCTCCATGAAGTTTTTGCTTTTTTCCTCTAATGTTTTAAGTTTTTTATGAGATAAAAATTAAAAATAATTAAAATATTTTAAAAAATCCTGCGTGTTGCATTTTTTAAAATATTGTAAATTAATAAATATCAAAAACTACTGTTTTATAACTGCAGAATATACATAATATTTAAATGCTTTATTTGTTAACAGATTGATAACAGTTTTTTAAATAACAGTTTTAATAGATAAATACTGGTAATTTTTCTTTTTCTTATATAATAAAATTTGTGCTTATCCAAATTATCTATGAAAATAGTGCATTCTCAAAATTTCTTCATTTTTCTAACAAAATCAAAATGCAAATTCTAAAATATGCTTTCTTACACAATTATTCTTTTTAATTAAAAATAATTATTTTAAAAACTTTTCTTGTCAAAGTAGAACACTTTTTTTAAGAGTTTCTCCTTGGCTTGCATTTCAGGTGCTGAAGTTGATGAGATGAGAAAAAGAGAGAGCCTTATTAAAATGCATCCTCCTAAAAGACCACAGGTACGTTTATTCTACAACTGTGCAAATCAAATGCACTTATTAAAAGTAAATTTTAACGAAATTAAAGTCGTACTTTGCTTCAAGAAAAATTGAAAAGAGAAATCGGAACTTTTTTTATAACATAAAACACATAAATAAGCCGAAAGTGCAAACAGCAACAATTAGTTTTTCACTAATCTATGTATGTAGAATGTTTAACTTTACTTTATGACCGACTTTGAACAGTCAACACATGTTTGGGTTGGCTATCAATGTTCAATTATATAATAGCCTTGTAAGTTTGAACTCAAGTCAGAACTAACTAGCCTTCGTGTTGGATTTTTGTTTTGCTGGAGCTAACCCTCATTTACGTTATATGGAGATGAAAACCTCCATGTTGATACGAGGCTTTCCAATTCACTCCTGCTGCTTTTCTGATTACATCAAATCACTTTGTAAGGGGTCGTTTAACATCACGTGACCTTTCAAATCACAGGTGCTGCTTATCTAATTGCATCAGATCACCTTGTTTGTGGTCGTTTCATGCCACGAGGCCTTCCAATTTACACGTCCTGCTCTTCTAATTACACCAAGCCTCTTTGTTTGTGGTCATTTGATGCCACGAGGCCTTTCAATTCGCACGGGCTGCTTTTCTAATTGTATCAGATCACCTTGTTTGTGGTCGCTTGATGCAAGGAGGTCTTCCAATTCATACGTGCTGCTTTTTTAATTACATCAGACCATTTTGCTTGTGGTCGTTTGATGCCACGAGGCCTTTCAATTCGCACGGGCTGCTTTTCTAATTGTATCAGATCACCTTGTTTGTGGTCGTTTGATGCAAAGAGGTCTTCCAATTCATACGCGCTGCCTTTCTAATTACATCAGATCACCTTGTTTGTGGTCGTTTGATGCAAAGAAGTCTTCCAATTCATACTGCGCTGCTTTTCTTATTACATTAGACATCTTATTTGTGGCCGTTTGATACTATGGGCCTTCCAATTCACCTGTGCTGTTTTTCTAATTGTATGAAACCTACTTGTCTGAAGTCGTTTGACGCCAAGAGGCCTTCCAATTCTCACCTGATGCTTTTCCAATTGCATCAGATCACCTTGCGTGTGGTCGTTTGATGTTACAAGGACACGTCTAAATGTGCTGCAATTCCAAGGATTGGGGAATTAGGAAACTTTAAACGCCTAGATATCCCGATGAGGTTTACAATTTGTTGAAACTTATCCATATTTCCCACTTAAGGTCATTTTTCGTATAGTTTTTTCTAGAAAAATTCCATCGGACATAGCACTCTCGAATCAGCTTACACTGTTTTTTTTCCTCTTAAAAAAACCCCTCTGAATATGGAGGGGAAAAAATTGAGTCGTTTTTTAATGTAATGCCTAAGCGTCATTACTCTTCTTCGGTGAAATCTTTTTCTCCATAAAAATATAATTTGCTCTTATTTTTTTATTAATTTATAAAATGCAAGTTATTTAACTCAATTTGAAACAAAATGCAAATTTTAAGCACAATTTTTTTTATTCAAGTAATCTTTATTAAACTATTTCCAATTTCTTTACAGAGACTGGAAGCGGATTTAGGAATTCTTAAAGCTAAGTCATCTGAGCCTGAAATACAAGAAACAATTCCTGTAAGTTTAGAAACCTTATTTAATTTATTTTTGCAAATACACAATTTATTTTTAAATTCCCTTATGATCTCAGACTAACTACAGTCGGTATAGCATAGTATCTATACCCATATAAAACCAGAAAAACTCGTATTAACAGACATCACCACACAAAAATCCCCTGGTATAAAACTACGACTCTGAAAACGAAATAAAAGAAAAGGCCTAGTAGAGTTCAGAAACTAAGGTAAGCAAACATCCACAAATCTTGAGAACAGTCCACGAATTGCATTGATTGTCCTCAAAAACTTTCAAACTCTTTAAAGGCTGAAAATGTTCTCAAATTTTAACACGTGGTCTAAAATGTTCTCAAATTTTTCCGAAAACATATTTTTTTTTATGTGCAGTAAAATATAACACAAAAAAAATCAGAAATATGCCATGTTTTTTTTTATTTTTAGATAGTTTAGTCTTACTGCGAATACAAACGAAAAAGCAAAAAAACACCTTGTTAAAATTAGCAGATAAAAACGAAATACTCGTCTTAAAAATAGTTTAAACAAAAATAAATTTTTTTTTATTTAACACAATATTATAAAATATTGCAAAACTGTTTAGTAATGAAATCAAGTTTGATGAAGATGGTTCTGTACCTGACATTAGTTATCAATTAAAAAAATAATCTTCGTTGCACATGTAAGTTAATATTTTCCAGAAATACGTGGTGGCCTCAAATCGTAAAATTTTTCCGAGGACCTTCCGCTGATTTGTTCTCAAATCATGGTTTATTAATCCGGTCACCTTATCAAAAACAGTACTAGTAAGTACAGTAGTACTTAAGAATTATCTACATTCAAACTGCAGGATCCTTCTAAAATGTTACGTTAGGAAATTAAAATCGGTAACATGAATCAAAGAAAAGATATCCTTAACAATTGTTACTTATTCGCAAAAAGTCTTTAAAAAAAATCTTTATTTTGAAAGAATTATTTGAATTTACTGATTTAGTTTTTGCATTTAATGTCTGTAAAACCTGTTTCACTGCGTATGTTGTTATGCGGCCGTGAAAGCAACTTCAACCCTATTGGAATCAAGGTTGCGAAGTGAAGAAAAGGAAAAATTTGCTCGATTTCAACTCGGTTCAATTACAAGTTAGATTCCGTAGATTAAAAGAGGGGATGATTTTTAACTCATGAAAATTATTTAGTCAAATAATTATGTAAACAAAACTATTTCTCTAACGAATATTAGGGCGATTATTTAAATTATTACTTAACCCTTTGATGCAGATGGGCACTGTTGTCTCTTATGTATTTTTTCTGACTCTATAATTAAAAGTAAAAATATATTTTTGGCACTTTTTAATAATAAAAAACAGTTTCATAGTTAATAAAAAATATCTGCTGGGTTATTGGAATTATTTTTGTACTAAAATATAAAATCTTGATTTTATAAATTTAATGATGAGTAACTGTTTCTCTTAGATCTAAATAAGTGTAAATAAGTATATTTAAAAAAGTTTGGAAGTGAGCCGTGTTTGGAAGATTTTACCTTTAATGCAAACGCAGAAAAAAATTGGTGTTTCGTACAGTATTTCATAACCGTAAATGATTAAAATGCTACCTGTAATATTTTTCACTTATTTTGACCAAAAATTATTACAAAATAGTGAAAAAATTTTAATAAAAATTCTGGGTCACAGGGTAACCACACACAATTAATCACATTTGAACATTTTCGAGCTTACGTTTAACCAAACTATTAAAAAAAAATATTAAACTTATTGATAATTTTAAATTAATGAATTATAAATAAAATGTCTTTTCATTTATTAATTTCAAAACCAAATTTATTTAGCTAAGTCACTAAGTTAGTTAATTTTAAAAAAAATATAGGTGAATGAATTTAATGTATTATAGGTGAATGAATTTTATAATAAATTCCTAGTTCATGAATATTCACAAAACAATTTTTGTCTCACGACATTTATATATATGAGCGTGTATGTGAGATATCCTTATAATGGCTTTAAAATTTATTACTTCAACCGCCATGTTATAATACAAATTTAAATTAAGTGCTTTTAACATTAATCATGCATAAAAATTATCAATACATAATTTGAGATTAGCCATAACTTAATAATATTAATACTTTGCTGGGATTCAGAAATTTTAATTGAGTATAAGTCGAGATCTCAGAAAGTCGGAAGGGGGAGTCGAACATTTCAACTACCAACTCCTCAGTTCTGATTGGAAAATAGCTTAAAAAATAAAAGAGAATTATGTTATTAGAGCTAGTTCATTTTGGAATATTTTTTATTACGGAAACAAGTGTGGAATAATAATAATAAAGCATTTGAAACATAGTAAAATTGAGAAGAGTTTCTAGAAATACAATTTTTAAAAAAAACTCTTTCTCTAAATCTTTCCTAGAAATACAGTGAACACTTGATTGATCGGTTTGCCTTATTTTGCCACGATTGCCTTAAAATTAGAGCAATCTTGGAGTGCAAGGGATAGAGCTTTCTCCTTTCAATGCAGGTGACCGGGTTCGAATCCCAGCGATGGCTGGTCGATGCGAAATCCACAACCGGCTCGCACCGACCACAGTGCTGACGTAAAATATCCTTAATGGTTGACAGATCATGAGTTATAGTCCCCTTGCCGTCAGGCTAACAGTGGGAGGTTTTCGTGATTTTACTATCCGTAAATGTGGGTTAGTTCCATCAAAACGTCCTCCACGAAGGCATATTTCCCTCAAAATTACAAGGCTGCGGAGTTGAACATTGATAGTGTATGTACGTGATTAACACTAGATTGCCCAAGGAAGTCATTTTGACTGCTTTTTAATTTCAATTAGAAAAACAATGATGACACAATTTCTTAGAATTTTGTGACTTTTATAATTATTTTTATTGGTGATATTTACTAATAATTTGTTATGTAACTCAAAATAATATCAAAAATATTAAAAATTAATTTTAAACAAATTTCTTTATACATTAGTTATTCTTTCACAATGCAGTCATTTTGACTGCTTTTGGGCAATATAGGTATTTTAGTCTTTCTAGTGTTAATAGTGTATGTATGATAGCAATGTATGAAAGAACTGTTTTGCCCTTCGATTATGAATTAGTATATAAAGATGAAAATAAATTGAGAAAAAATTGAAGTAAAATTTTATTTCACTTTCGTTTTAAAATTTAAACTTTGTTAACACTTAATCATTCGAAGCGAACATTATTACATTCTAGTAACAAAGAAAACCCAATTTTAAAGAAATATTTCATAGGTGAATGGCAATACGTCGGATTTCGTTGATTCCTATTAAGTAAGCTTATTCCTCTGACTCTGAATAATAAAAGTGTAACAAAGGAAAGACACTTTGTTACCATGGTGATCGGTCACTAACTTTTCGGGGAAAGCAAAAAAAAAGGAGCTCTTTTTTAGCATAAAATGTTCTACTTTTCTCAAAAGGGTGTGTAAATTTTCTTTTAACATTCATTCACCTGCTCAGATTAATTTCTAGCAAAATCAATTTATGTCACGTGGAATTCGGGTCAAGTACAAGGAATAAATCAGTGTTCTTTCTTCTTGTTTCATACAAATTCTTTTTATTTTATTTTCATGTTTTATAAAGTGAGACTTATTTCGTTACATACATCTTTCGATTTTCTTACCTCGGGTACAGGTATGCCGTCATAGTTTAGCGCAGGATAACCAATTTCAGCTCTTGCTTCATTAAACTATAGTCAATGCAATTTCATTTAATTTTTTTTTCCTCTTTTTATTTTGTTTAATTTAGAATTATAACTAGCGCTGTGAAAAATTTAGAATTTTCCTTTTTTGTTTATTTTTATTCTCAATTTTTTTTTAAATTTTATATTCTTAGAATTAAAAATAGGTGTACTAGAATTTCCCGTTTCGATATATATATATNGAGCCATTACATTATGACCCATTGTTATAGATGGAGGGTGGTCATAATGTAATGGCTCTTCGGTGCATATATATTCGCATAAATTGTCACCTATCCAATCTAAACAATACGGGATGCTCCGTAGACTACTCTCTATAAATTTTTTTAGAATTTTTGAAAAGAATTGAAGTTTAATAAAGTATACACTTTACAGAATTCCCAAATTACTATTGAAAAATCAGAAAATGCAAAATTAAAAATATAAAATCCAGTTTATTTGCCGGATAAAACTTTGAAGTTCTTCCATTAATCACCTTTCAACTCCCCCTTTGTTTCTTCCGGCAATAAAACAAGTTTTAATGTTTTCATTCACGTTTTTATTCAGTAGTAATTCGTTAGATTTTAAAAGCATTTCGGTTTTTTCCTCGCTTAAAAATTAATTATCGACTCCAAGTTCGACAATGATTCTAAAAATATATATATATAAAGGGTGCTCATAACAGAACACCTTGCAACTGCTTAAACACTTACAAATTTGAACCGTTTAAAACTGAGTTTTCAGGTCTACGTGCAACCAGTTGAAATAATCTTTTCGTCATTAATGCAGAAACTTATAAGTTACCACTGAAGCTCAAAAGTTGTTAATATGCACATCACCTATCTAAACTGTAGAGTATCTAGGAAAATCCGTTAAAGAGCAGAATCAAGAGTTTTCCATAATTTCCCTAGGAAACGTGTTCAGTAATGGTTTTAGTATCAAAGTTCATTCGCATTCTATTGTTTCTCCATTCCATTAGCTAATTTGTTGATTGTTTGATTATATTTATTGACATTATTCTTTAGATATTAAAAAATAATTTTTTTCTTCTTAATTGTAATAATATTTTAAATCGTTTGATTATTTGTATCATAGTTTTCCAAGAGAATGATTCTCTCAACCAATGAATTGATTGCAGAAACTTTATTTTTTAGATAGCAAAAAATAAATAAATGGAGAGTAAATTTAAGCATACAGAAACATTGCTGTTGGTTAAGTAATTTTAGTCGGTAATGTGCAGATTAGTTAGGTTGTTTACAGATTATATAGGTGGTTTACAGATTATAAAGGAGGTTTAAGAAATGAAACACTTTTTTTGCACTTCAACGGATCACCTCAGTTAATCTGCATATTAGCTAGATAATCTGCTGAATAACTGATATCCACCCTTTAGTGGTAATATATATACAGAATGTTCTCAAAACACCTTCATTAAAGTGAAGTTTTTAAATAAACAATAACCATTACGTCAAATATTGGCAAAAGTTTATGTATAAGTATTAAGGGAGGTGTTTGGAGAACGCACTGTAAATTGTATCAAAAACTTCATGTATTAATAAACGTATATAATTTTTACAATTTTAGGAAGAATAACTTGCATTGGCCAATGGAATTCAGATTTTATTTAGGTTCTTCCTGGTGCCTGGTAACCCGCAGTTGAAAAGACAATGATATATAAACGAAGATGATTTTGTGGAGTTCTTTGTTCTTGGGTGTATCTGCGAATTATTTTATTGTTAATACTTTTTTTGTAAAAAAAATATGTGTATACTTAATTTATTCCTAATCATTTGCAGAGAAATAAACACTCACTGTCATATTGTCATGATTTACCATTCTTTCATATTATTAGGACTTGACTTATTCTTCATGTAAGGTAAATCAGATTTCATTTTCTTAGCGAGGGTAGCTGGTTCGAAACTCGGGCGTAATTCTGAAGGTATTTTTGTGCTGTCCTTCTCCTTGTCTACTATTTTTTTTCTCTATTTAACAAAGGCATATATGCCGTAATTATGTAATTCAGCACAGAAGCCTGCATGTATGTGTGCAATAAATAAATAAATATTAAGAAAGAACCTAACGAAAGGAGGGATTAGTGATTTGCTTACTTTTGCTGACAAATGAGAGGAGGGGTATGAGGGTGCTTACATAAAACATTAAAATCACGTTATTTTTAAAATGTTTGTTTAAAATTCGATAAATAAATTATACTTGGAAAATTTCAAATTTGAAATCAAAGTTAAGTTATGGGAAAGGAAATGTAGAAAAAAACATTTATTTAGAGGTTTATTTTAAAGGTCAAGAGTTTCACTAACAGAAGGAAAACACGGAAGATTCCTAAAGAATATATTCTGCTCAAAAATTTATGAAATTAATAAATTATGAATTTAATTTAAATTTGTTTTATTTATTTATATTTTTGCTGAGTCATATCGTTTATTTGAATCAAATTCTACATTAAAATTTTTTTTAGATTTCTGTAATCAAGACATAGTAAAAATAATGGAGAAAGGAAGGTTGTTGTGACTTTCTTCGGAGAGGTTTGCGATTTGTTTACTTTAGCAGACAAAATTATAAAAAACATGCATTCCTAATATTTGAATGACCCCTTAGAGGGCATTTATGAATCACGTAATCGAATTGGGGATTTTTGATAAACGGTTGAGTACAATCACAGAGGGGTGGGGCATATCCTTTTTAAAATCACATGTACTATTTCACACTAATTATTTTATTAAAATTATGTGTAAGGGAGATGGCATAAAAAATCTAACAGTGGCTCGAAAAGAGATTATGTAAATTTTTATTTATAACAGCTTTTTACACATCTTGCGCTACGGGTATCCTCAGGGTTGTTGATTTAATCAATAAACTTTTTTAACAAAAAAATTTACTTATTTGATTTAAACACTTGATTTATTCGACATATTTGATTTTTTTTTTTTTTAAAAAAACTTAAAACAGACTATTTTTAAATAAATCATGATCTTTTCAATTGTTATGATTTTTCAAATATATAAAATTTATGTAACATATTAATAATTTTTATTTCTTTTTAAAAAAGACATAACTAAATAAAAATTACTAAACACAAATTATAAATGTTTACAGACTAAAGATAAAGAATCGTGTATATATACTTGTAATACATATCAGAAATTATGTTAATGGCAGAAGGAAAAAAAACTAAAATTTTCTTTATTTCTGGAGATCTAATATCAATTTTTATAATTGATCATTTGCATTTAAAATGCTAGTTTTGATAGTTATATTCTTATTATGTTTTACAAAATTAATTAAATAATATTTAAGTAAAGGAGTATTCCCTCCCTTTTATAAAAAAAATAAACAAATAAAAGTATATAAAAATCACGATATTACACTTAAGCAGAAATAAAAACAATTTTTAAAGAAAAAAAATATTATCTTCATATGTTGTAAGAATATGTAAAAACATATTTTGCCCATTACACATCAATAAGATTTCTTGAAACATTATTAAGGATAATATTCCCAAGATTTTAATTTTCAGCATAATGCATTTTTTTCTTAAATAAAAGAGATCACATTTTCAGTTTTAGTAATGAAGATAAATCTCTGCTGCTCAAGATCTAAAACATTTCAAACGTATTTTTAAATACATTAAAATACTAGTTAGCAACCTAAACCTAATGAAATAAACATATATACGCAATTTTCTTATTCAACATTTGCATAAAAACTTAAATCATATTTTGAAGCTGAATAAATATTTTTTTTAAACTTGAATAAAAATCAATGATATATTTTCTTTTAAAACAATTAGCTGATTTATATGAGTGGTTTAAATAAACTTACATAAATCACTACAACTCTAAATATCTTATAAAAACCCTCCTTAATATTTTATATGTAATTCGAAGTTTGATTTAAGATAATAAACTTAAGGATATTCTTATGATATTGACAAGCATCTTACATCTAGCATATTCCGAACTTCTTTTTAGGAAAAATCCCACAAATCAAAAGATCTTGAAATTTTGTTAAAAAACAAGGTATTAATAATAATTGCAAGATCTCTATTTGTGCAAGAACTTTTATAAACTACCAATAATTATAGACTACCAACATTAGTATTAGACAATTTACATTTATAAATATGTATCTGAATACTTTCTCATTATTCTTTGACACATATCTAATCATAACTTTGAACAATTCCATTTTTACCATACCATTTCTAACTGAACTGAAATATGTCAAAATAATAGGAAAAAGTTTTTAACGATGTGGGTAGAGTATTCTTTGTGATAATATGAAACTAAAAACTTTTAAAAAAATATCAACGTTTTAACAAAATGATAAATTTTTCAATAACAAATGTGGATGTGCTTTCGTGGCATAAGAAATTTTATGAAAAAAGGGGGTAGACTTATACACTGGTAAATAAAAAAGTTTGGCATTCGTTGATCGTGGATGCATTATCAATGAGATAGATATGAATAACTCTGTATCAATTTTCCCTTTTCAAAAACTACTTTTAGTAAGTTAAATACAAGTAATTTTGCATTTTCACTAACTATATTCTCTTCATGCATAATTTTTTTTTTTTTTTTTTTTGGATATAATATTTCAAATTATGTTCAGAAAAGAAATTAAGAATAAGAAAGTTAAGTAATTTATTTATTCAAGAGTATTTCAAAAATATCACTCAATGAAGGCTTTTTAAAACATACCATTCATTTACAAATTAAAAGATTCCAGAACATCATCTGTGTCGAATTCAATTAAGCTAGAAGTGTCATCATAAAGAATCCACTCTACGGTGGATTCTACTTCATCTGCAGAGTCTCACAAAGACTTGTCTTAACCCCCACCCAAAGATTACGAAATTCAACACTTTTTATAAGATTTAATAAAAAAGAAATTTTCACATTTAATTTTTTTTCTTCAGAGATCGACTTAGGTACCCAATGAACTAGAAATTTTCTATCTCGTATTTCTATCATTTTCTAACTTCACTTATAATGTGATTGTAAAAATAATAGCGTTTATCAAAGCGTGTCATGCACTTCTTCTTAGCTATTCTACATGATAGGCCAGAGTCATGAAGTCCATTTCTCACTGTCTGAGATGACATCTAAAATATGAAGAAAAAGAAGCTTTTAAACAATTTAAAATATAAATAAGTATAGCTCACTCGATCAGCAATCATTATACCATAAGCAGTTTTTGATTTCCTTTAATGTTCAAAAAGCTTATATGCCTTGTTTAAGGTGTCCCAAAATAAGACCGACAAACTTAGAGGAGTTATAAGGGACAACAAGAGAATGAAAATTTACCATATTGCATATACGTCTTAAATCAAGTTAAGAGGGTGAAAATCGTAAAAGCTCATTTAGGTTTCGAGGACACTCTGGAAAACAAAGCTATGAAAGATATTACAAACTTGCTAACTACTTAAACATTTATTTCACTAATAGTTACAAAGGTTACTCAAAGTGCGCTTTATGATGTCATTGCACAGTCCACAATGACGTAAAAATGATTTCGGGTACTCTTGAAGATAAGCTTAATATGACTAACACCAACTGATCCCTACTGCTCGCATCTTATAGATTCAGAGCCTGCATATGTTTACCCTTTCAACAGGTTTTGCAACCTCTATGTCGTGTGGTAAGTTTTCGTCTGGTTGATGGCGCTTTTCCCATTCCTGATTCGCTCGTCGAGTTTTTTTAATACTAAGTTTATCAGCGGTATCCAATTTTTTTTCGGTTGTGGAACACGAAATCAACTATCGTTCGGCGAAATCCCAATTTTAAAAATAAAGTATATAGACAATTCTGAGAGTCTTAACCTTTGAAAAACTACTTATTTTTTAAAATACTTAATAAGATGAATGAAATTTCTTAATCTTTAATCAATAATAAGCTCAAATGAAGAGTTCAGGAGTGACACTTAAATTCTCAGCCTTCAGCGGTATCTAGTCTAAATTATGAATTTATTTTTGGCGTATAGCATAGTTGAAAATGAATAAAATAAGCCGAATTATGGTTTTCTTTTAAAGGAAAATAAAAACAGAACTGCTTTAAAAGTCAAAATGGCTATAGGGAAATTGATTGCTTTCTTAACGAATTTTGTTATTCTTATTTAGATTTGAAAAGCGCGAAAATATATTAATACAATTTATTATAAATAAATGTCTTCTCCATAATTTACTAAGTATATATTAATATTAAAAATATTATTTTTTTATAAAAAAATATCACTTTTTTCCATTGGTATTTTCCTTTAAACAATTTTGTTAAGGCAACCAAAATGAACAGATAATGAATCATTAATTGTGTCGAAATATAATTAGAGACTTTCAAAAAGCATAACTGGTTAAAACAAGGTCCAATTCTCGAAATCCCTTTAACTCTTCCACCGAGCCTCTAGGGTTCTGCGGAACACCATTTGGGAACCACTTTTGTTAATGATTCCAATATTTTGCTTAACATATTTATCTAACAAGTTAGGATTTCCAAAACCAACAAATTAAAAAATTAGTTTCAACTGTTTCCCAACCTCTATTTATCTAATGTTATAAGAATTCATAAATTTTAAAATTTAACCGCTCAGAGCATTTAGTTGTGTATATATAAATATATTTGCTAACACATAAGTTGCATAAAAATTCTATACTTACTAGTAATCACATATCGTCCAGAATTATCTTAGCTGTAACTTTTGGGTTAGCTTCTGCATAAGTTAAAATACAGATGTCTTCTGCACTATCCGATATTTTTGGCCTACCACTGCCTTCTTTCCTTGAAACGTCGCCGGTTCTTGATCTAAATTTTTTACGAATATTTTATTTAAACATGAATGAAAGAAATTTTTTATTTTCATGCTTATGGACTTTCTTAAAGAAGTAGACTGATCTATATATGTTTTAATGCTAAAAAATAAATATTAAAGGAAGTTATTCTTATCCTTTTCAAATTTTTATATTCGATACGATTATGTGAACTATTTGCTCTTGAAGGACTCAGCATGATTCAAAATAATTACTATTTCCCTTATTCAATGTAAACTATTAAAAAATTAATCAACCAATTATTTTACAATTAATTGGCCCCTGCGTAGAGAGGGTAGCGGGATACTAGTTTACAAAAAACGTCTACATGTATAGAACAAAAAAAAAAAAAAATTTTCTTTTTAACTATAAATGTGAGAATATTTTTTTTTAAAGCAAAATATAAAAGAATACATATTCTAATACTATTGGCGATATTCTTTTGTTCTAAAAAATATTTGTATAGTTAACCTTTTTTGAATTTTCGCTACTTTGAAATTACTTCTTATAATATCAATCTGAAATTCTAGCTAAAGTCAATCAATGCAAAAAAAAAAAGTTTTATTCACAAAAGAAAGTAGGAAAAAAAATCTAGAGCATATTTTTCCACCTCCGATATGTGGAAAAGGTATTTCTTGAATATAATTCTGCAGAAAGGGGGGGGGGGAGAAAGTTCTGTAAAAAAAAAAGAAAATATTTCAAAAAATTCTGAAGATAAAAAACTCCAAACCTCTCTGCTTCCCAAATAAAAAAATCTTTCTGCAGGAGCTCTGTAATGTTCTGCAACAATGTTGCCACAATTCTGCCATGGGGTTTTTACTAATTTAGACTTACCACAATACAGAGCCAGCACCCCCTTTACCAGGTGCCTTATGCAGCCGTTTACTAGGCTTACATATCAGACTGAACCTGATTAATCTTTGTTAATGTCATTATTTCAACACAATGATAAATAGATATATTCATTAATTACATTTATAGATATAGTCTTGTTTTTATTGATATACAAAAAGATGTATGGGCATATAAATGTTTATATGCCCATATTTTATAAAACTAACATTCCTGGCTAGATATATGGAAAATTTTTATAATTTACAAGTTCTCGTAGACAGGTATTTCATTATTAGGATTTATTTTGAAGAAACAAGATAGTTTTGTCTACCATAATGTGCTAACATTAATTCTATGTTAAGAAAAAAATTATCTTACATCTGAAAAAATATCCACTATGAATACTGATGATCTCAACGGCCATTTTCGCCAACACCATGCTTAAGTCATTTTTATTTGTTCCAAATTAATTGATTATAAAAAATAGCGACCTACAAACATTATTTACTGCGTGCAAAATACTTACATATGAACTACTTCTATATTTATTTTAAGATTTAGCGAAAATGGTCGACGGGATAATACCAAATATGCACTACCACTTTTTGCAGCCAGGTATGCACTAATAGGTTTTTGCAGCCACATTCATATGTGTTAAACAATTAAGAAACAAATCAAACAAAAACAGAATAAATATTAAAAAATAGTAGAAACAATTGAAATTTTGTTTTCCCAAAAGAATTTTTAGAAGCTATATGAAAATTTAGAAGCTATATTTAGAACAGAAGTCTGTCCAGACATTTTGTGAAAGGTCCTGTTTTCATAAAATTGTGAAAAAACTACTCATAATTTTGTAAATATAAAATAAGCGTTAAGTCATATTCTTTCAACCAGGGTCCTGCTTTTGTGAATTTGTGAAATAGGGTTCTGTTATTGCAAAAATTGCTAAAAACATTTTTAAGAAGTTTTTAAATTGTAAACAGATACAAGATTATGTTCAATGATTGATGCTACTAAATTAGAGATGCAACATACAAATATTTGATATTTAGCCTATACTGCTCAACACAGAATATTCATTTCGGACGAATAATGGAAACAAAATCACTCACATTTTTAATAATTTCAATTGACATATTTTAAATGACACAACTTAGTTATGTATCCCTTTTAACGTGTTACGCATTAAGTAAACTTAAACAATTATTAAATTTATATAAAAAATTACCTGAAATTAATTTTTATTTACAGAATATTCTATCAACTAAATTATGAATAAATATAAATTGTTAAATTATTTATTCACAAAAACAAACAAAAATATCATTTAATATCGATAAGAATGTGCACACGATGTTTGTAACAATATAAATATTTTCTTAGAATACTACATTTGGAATTTAAACTTACTTAGGGAAACTTAAAAAAATAAGTTCATTTCGTACCACCTTTCTTCCCCCCCCCCCAGGAAGGGTTTATTCAATTAACAAAACAATAATGAAGATAAACAAATTTGTGAAGGGTCCGATTAGAAGATAAATTATTTTGTGAAGGGTCTGTTAACAGGCCCAAATTTCTTCTAAACAGACACCTGTTAAATTATTTTTAAATTAATTGCACACACAGGTTTTACATTTCATTTTATTTGACATGTAATAGTAGAATTATAACCCAAGTAATGTTATAAAATATCTATGATTTATTCATTATATTTAAATATAGTTGGTTTGAATAAAGATATTCTTAATCACTCACTATGCAAATAAGGTTTTCTTTCTATGTGTACAATATTGTGTCTATTCAAACTAGATTTTTGTGTGAATGCTTTATCACAGACACTGCAAGAATAAGGTTTCTCTTTAGTGTGCACTATGTTGTGTTGTTTTAAATAAACTTTAGCTGTGAAAGTTTTATCACATACACTGCAAGAATAAGGTTTTTCTCCAGTATGAATCACATAATGTTTGTTTAAATTACTTTTACTAGAGAATGGTTTATCACACACAATGCACGGATAAGGCTTTTCATCAATATGCACGCGAGAGTGTGAAACTGCATTGCCTTTTGATGCAAATGATTTATTACACACGCTACATGGATACGGTTTCTCTCCAGAATGAATATGATAATGTTCGATTAAATAACTTTTTTCTGTAAATGCTTTTTCACACATATCACACAAATAGGGTTTCTCGTTTGTATGGATACGAGAGTGACGGATTAAGTTGCATTTTGATGTGAAACTTTTATAACACACATTACATGAATGAGTTTTCTCACCAACATGGCAACGGGATGTGAACTTTTTCTTTGTAGATATTTTATTACAATTACTGAACATCTTTCTTTTATTGGAATTAAGAAAGTTGCTTGTCAATAATATTTAGTGACACTCCCACATTATGAATGATGCTGCACCTCTTTTATTAACCTTGCAAGGAAAGTTTAAATTTTCATTCTTTGCTTAGAAATATTTTTAGCAGAGCAAAAAGTTTATTCATATTTGTCTGCACCAAGCATTAAAATATTTTTCACGAAAGATTAAAGAAAAGTATCGCAAATTTTAGACAGACATCCCGAGGAAATAAGAATTGCATAAGTTTGTGGGAGAAATCGAGATAGCTACTTCCGAGTGTTTATCTGGAAGCAAATGTTCTATTTCATGGTAGTCTATATCTTCTTTTTTCTAAACAAACAATCAAATATTTCCGCAACAAAAGTTGATTCAACAGCAATTTAAATTACAAGTATTTGAGAGAGAGATTTTTGTTTAAAAATGAAAATTTCAGAGCTAATTCAGTTGGTTTAAAAAAATAATTCATGTAATAACCTTTTGTTGCTACTGCAATATTGTTTTTGGCGATATTTTATAAATCATTTTCATTATTTATTTTTCATAGCAAATTTTAAATTGCGTTAAATTCCTAGCTACAGATTTGCCAAAGAGTAAGAGATATGATAATAGAATCAATGAGGAATAGAATATGAAAAATAGTTATATACTTGTTAATAAGCTTTCAACTACTTATTTCTTTACAATTAAAGTATAGATGTTAAAATTATTCTTATAATCAGCTTACAGCTTATACATAATCAGGCTAGTGAGCACAATTTCCTTGCGTGCGCGTAGCTCTCGCGTGAGAAAGAAATAAGCAGACAAACGCTTACCAACCTTAAGTAAATAAACATTTTTTTCTTGAACACTGTTCTTGAATAACCTAGATTAAAGATTTGCATTTAAAATACTATTTAGTCTATGCAATCAAAGATTTATGTTTTGCATGCGATTTATATTTTGTATAAACATTTTTTATTGAGTAACCTGAATCGAAGATAATTAATAAAATTTCCATATTTAATTTTAAAAAAACATTCAGTTATACTTATAGCAGCAACTTAAACTGTGTATCATTGAATATTAAAAGTTACATAATTATTTTGATAAAAAGAAATTTCATGCCATATCTGTATCATATTGACAATGGAGGAAGTATTCACGTCCAATATTCATGAGGACAAACCTTATTCGTGCAAAGAGTGTCCCAAAGCTTTCACCGCAAAATCTAATTTAATAAGGCATTCTCATGTTCATAAAGCAGTGAAACCGTTTTCATGCAATGTGTGTAATGAAACTTTCAGGTTAAAATGTGAACTATCTCTACATTCTCATGTTCATACTAATGGAAAACCTTATTCGTGTAGTGTGTGTAATAAAGCATTTTCAAGAATCAATAGTTTAAATAAACATTCTCTAATTCATACGGGGGCTAAACCCTATTCATGCATCGTGTGTGACAAAAGATTTACCCATAAAAGTAATTTAACTGTACATGCTCGTGTTCATACTAAGGAAAAACCTTATTCGTGCACTGTGTGTAATAAAGATTTTTCAAGCAAATGTAATTTAAAAGAACACTATCGACGTGTTCATACCGAAGACAAGCCTTACATGTGCATGGTGTGTTATAAAACTTTTACAGTAAAGTGTAATTTAATGAGACACTCCCGTATTCACACTAATGAAAAACCTTATTCATGTAGTTTGTGTAATAAAGCATTCACTGAAAGAGGTAGTTTAAATGAACACCATCGTGTTCATACTGGCGAGAAGCCTTATTCTTGCAGTGTGTGCAATAAAACATTCACATTGAGAAGTCAATTAAAAGTACATGCACATGTTCATACTGATGAAACGCCTTATTCGTGCAATGTGTGCGGCAAGGTTTTCAAACATAAAAGTAGTTTAAATAAGCATTCTCGCAGTCATACTGAAGAAAAACCCAATTCAGGCAATGTGCGGGACGAAAAGTCGCCACAGGAAAGTAATTTATCTTTAGAGACTGTTTATACTTATGAAAAACCAGACTTGTGCAACGTGCAAGACAAAACTTCCTCACAAAAAAATAACAAATCAATAGACTCTCATGTGCATAATAAGACAGATTCTTATAATGCGCATAATAAAATCTCTTTAAAGAAAAGTAATTTGTCTACAGATTCTCATGTATATACTTATGAAAAACCTGAGTTATGCAATGTGGAGGAAGAAACTGACTCACAAAATAGTAATTTATCTGTAACTCATGATTATATTTATGAAAAGCCTGATTTGTGCATTGTAAATGAAGAAACAAACTAATGAAATAATTGTTTACATATCCCTCATGTTTATATTTAAAAAAAGCTAGATTTGTCCAATGTCGATTAAAAAACTTACTTACAAAATAGTACTTTATCTATACCTTATGTTTACACTTATGAAACTACTGATTTGTGCAATGTCAATAAGGAGACTTACTCAAAAAATAGTAATTTATCTGTATCTCATGATTATATTTATAAATAGCCTAAATTGTGCAATGTAAATTAAGAAACTAACTCATGAACTAATTGTTTATATATATCCCTCATGTTTATATTAAAGCTAGATTTGTCCAATGTTGATTAAAAAACTTACTTAAAAAATAGTAATTTATCTGTATATCATGTCTATATTTATGAAAAATCTGATTTGTGCAATGTGGATGAAAAACTTACTTGTAATAATATAAATAGTAATTTTTCTTTACCTTATAATTATGACTAGCCTAATTTCTATTATTTACTAGATGAAACTTCTTCACTAAATTTTTTTTTATCAGTAAACTCTATGGGACTGAGGAGATGCACAATGAATCTTCCTCATGGGAAGTAATTTATCTATAGGCTTTCATGTTGACATTTAGAAAAAACCTTAATTCTTGTATGTGAGAAACTATTCAAAAACTAAGTACAAAACTTTGATTATTTTAAGTAATTGGGATCAAATCTACTTTGAATGATCAAAATTTTCAAGTTATAGAGGTTCTTAGTTCTAATCATGAACTTTCATTTTCAAATTTCGAAAATTTTGAGGTGATTATATTCCATGTAAGGTTTCTTTTAACTCGAGAACAAGCAAAAGAAAGTTTATGGCAAAATAAGCCAATTAATATCATATCAGATAAATTACCAAAAGTGCAAATAAAAAAGCAAGTTCCATTCATGGAAACTCCTCATTAATGAACCAAATCTCAATGTCCTTTCACCCTCACAAGTGTCACTTTCCCCCATTTTCTAGTTTATACTGTGCTAAAAATTGTACTTAACACCAATTGTTCCAAATTGTACTACGCACTACGAACAGGATTGGCATTTCTTCTGGAAGGAACCTATTTCTTGCAGGGAACTGGGAGAACCTTGACAAAATGGCAGAAACTAAAAAAGACCAATATAAATGCTTAAAAGTGTTTTGAAAAATAGCTTAAATTTAAGCAAATTAAATTCAATATAGTACCAGAAAGTTTTTCACGTCCACTAATAAAAAAAGAACTATTTTTATACAGAATTTAAAAACATATTTGTATCATATTATTTAAAAGTGAGTTTGAGTATTCATACTAAGCAGGATTTGGTTAAAAAATTAGGCAGAATGGAACCCTTTAACTCAGGGTTGGGTTTTTGCCATCAAAAACTGGTTTTTGACACGACGGTGGTAAAAACCGTGTTTTTACCTGTAAAAACTGTCAAAAACCTACTGTTTTCTTTAATTTACGGCATATAGCGGACAATATATTATTTTCACTTAATTGCCTTTATAAATGAATGTTTTAAACAATTACTATTGATTTTGCAACTATATACATGTATTCTTATAGAAGGATATACATTCATACAGAAATATTGTAATATACTTATTGAAAATAGTGATACTTAACTTTTATCATTATAGCTTGATTTGCAAAGGATTAAAAATTTTGTACTTCTTAATTGTTGGAAATAAACAAACAAACAAAAAAAACTTGGAACTATTAATAAATTCAAGAACTAAAAAGAAGAATTTAAAATTTGGCATTTCTTAAATATTAGAAATAAGCTAAACAAAACTTGTAACTACTAACAAAGTCTAAGTCAGGAATGACTTGACATTCTTCAGTAATGTAATATGCCAAACAAAATGATGCTTGGAAATGTTGAAAATTTTCTTTAGTATCCTAATATTTTACTTCAAATAGTATGATTTGATATAATCATGTTGGGAAAATGCAAAAATCTTTACTTAAATATCTTTTAGAAACTTTTTTTCTAATTTTATTGCCCAAAAATGAATTAATTTTAAATCATAAGCAGTTAAACTCAAATTAAAATACAGTTTTCTCAAAACTATGGGTTTTTGACATGACGGTAGAAACCATGGTATAAACCGGTAAAATCCGTCATGTGTCAAAAACTTGCCAACCCTGCTTTAACTGCTAGGAGACTAACTTAAATTATCATATGACTCAAATCATGGTCTGCTAATTCACTTCCCATATAACATAGATTTCTCAGATTAAATTACTTTGAAGAATGTAACAAAATTTGTAATATTTCTTATAAATTATTAAAAACTTACAATTAGTAGGGTTTTCTGGATAGTTTTTGTTATTTTCAATTTAAATTGATTTTCATTTAAGTCTATTTATTTTTAACCAACAAAGAATAGGGTATATTTTGTGCTATTTATTCTAAAGCAAATCTCAATGTGAATAAAGAACAAATGAAGATATATAAATGAACAAATGTTTGTCCATTTGTGTACAAAATGGACAACCAATGTCAAGTTTTGTTAAAAGCAAATTTGTGCTTTATTCATGTTTGTTTGTTTTTTTAATTTTTGTTTCGTTTTTTTAGTTTAATTATGTATAGCTCAAAATACAACTGACTTATTTAGTTTATCAATTTTTTGTTTATTATTTATTTTATTTGGAGTTTTTTTTTAAACTTTATTGATGTTATTTTTTAAATCTTTATTTATATTTTTTTTACTTTTCTAAAACTTTTAATGCAATGATAAAGTTAATATTTTATTTGTTTTCAACTTAGAAAGTTGCATCAAAATTTCAATATGGTTATTTTCACAATTTATTTTATTTGTTTTCTTAGGTTTTATACTTCATTGAAATTAAATCATGAAATTTCGTGATTTCTATTTATCTACTACTTGTTTTATGGTTGCTCATATTTGTATGTACATAATCTAAATAATTTATTCTATGTTGCAATGAAAATTTAAATAATGTATTACCTGAATAAAAATTTTATCATTTTTAGTTTTCAATTTATTATTTAAACAGTTTAATAATTTGAATTTTAAGTTATATTTTTAACATAACTTATTAATGATTGCTTATATTGATTGCTTTGAAAAAAGAAAAACAAAGGAAAGGATACTGAATTATTTGAAGTGTCAGTATCTGATTTTTCATATAGAATTTCATAATTTCTAAAAAATTTAGTATATTTTAACCTTTAATTATTTTTTTTAAATTTTTCTAATGTTGATCTAGTTTGATAAACTAAAAATAATGAGTATTAAAATCAGTTCTTTTTATTCAGTTTCTGTATTTTCTTAGTGTTACAGTTTTTTTTTTTTTTTTAAATTTTAGTTTCTTTACAATTAATAAATTTCAAGATATTAAGTATAATAATTATTTTGGGTTATAAATTATACTGACTTTAAAGTTTCTCTCTATTTTACTTTTTTTTAATTTTTATTTTGTTTTTATTAATATTATTTTAATACAATATTTTTGAACTCTATACTGAATAGGTACTTGGCTAGACCAATTTAGTGTTGGAAAAGTAAATGCAATAATATAACTAACAAAAATAATTCTATTCATTAATCTAGTTTTTGAAACGCAAACCAAAACTATTTACAGATACATTGTATACTATAATGTAGTTAAGGGTTGGTAAAAATCATAATTTTTAAAATGAAATCAGACTTTTTTTAATTAAATCAGTTATTTCCCTTTTTACATTTTACTTAATAATGCATAATATTATTAAAAAAAAACATTATTATAACTGAAATACATAATATTTCTAACAAAAAGAGTTAAAATTATTACAGACAAATCACTGAATAAAACCATTATTATTTTTATTCAAGTTCAACACTCTGATGAATGTGTACAGGTGTAAATATCAAATAGAGAATAAATTTATTTAAGTCAGAAAGCATGGGGGGGGGGATTTTTTTGTTTTTAAATTATTCGTTTCAGAAATCTCTTTTTTCCCATCACTTACAAACACGAACATTTCTTTTCCCCTCATCACTGATATTTGAAGATTTTTAAAAGTACCTGCATTTAAATAGGCATAAAACTGAATTGGTATAATGGAAACATGTTCATAAAACAACAAATTATTTTTCATACCGCTAATGGAAATAACTTTAAAATTTCATTGCAGTTTTATCAACATTTATTGCTTTTCTTTTATTTATTATTCTATTCTGAATAATGATTTACTTATGGAAAGTGATTACTTACTATCCTTCAAAACTAATTATCCTTTCGACTTGAGTTTTATCTCAATCATTTTAGCATGAGAAATTACATCGCATAATATACCTTACATCAGGGGTGTCAAACTCGCGGCCCGAGATGAACATTTTTGCGGCCCAGTCAATATATCCGACGCAAAGTAAAAATAAGAAAGAAATGTGAATTAGAAAGCAGACTAGCATATAAAATTATAATATACTTTATTTGTAAACTATACGGATCACTTTAAATTGTACACGCGAAAAAGTAAGATTCTAATTGGCTTGTGGCACCTGTCATTCCAGGAATACTGCTTCGTATCAAAAATACGCAGAAAAAATTTCAAATCTTAGAACAGAATTTGAAACAAGGTTTAAAGATTTTAATTCTTTGGAAGACAAATTTTGTTTATTTTCCTCGATTTTCTCAATAAATATGGACTCAGTACCCAGTAATATGCAAATGGAAGTGATTGAGAATCAGTGCGACTCAAATTTGAACGCAAAATTCATTGAAGTGGGTGTGCCTGAATTTAACAAATATTTACCGGCAAGGTTTGAAAATACTCGAAAATTGGCATAAGAAATTATTTCCATGTTTAATTGGCATATATACTTATCGAAAAATTGGCATATGTACTTATCAGTGCCCAGCAATTGTTTTCTGTTATGAATGGAAATAAATCTCCTGTCCGAAACCGTATTAATAACGCTCACGTTGGGTCAATTTTGAAAGTAGTCTCGGGCAATAAAATTTCTCCCGAAATAGGAAAGATGGTAGTAGAGAAGAGATGTCAAGTATCAAACAATAATTTAACTTTATGTATGTTTATTACAATGTACTATTCGAAATAAAAATATCTGTTTCTAAGAACATTGATTTTTTTTTTTTTTTTTGCGGCCCGCCTAAAGTTAAGCATTTTTTATTTGCCCAAGTTAGCTTTTGAGTTTGACACCCCTGTCTTACATGGTCAGATAGCTATTGGATAGCAAAGTAAAAATTATGCATAAATGCATGTCAAAAGTTGCTATTTGATTAGCTTCATTATAATGAAGCTAATATCATCATCAGGATCTCAATATCAATTATTCGATTGCCACACAGATTGTTTTTATCCAAAGGCATCAGTTCTTTATTGACTTCCATAGAAATCGATAATTTTGAAGAGCTTGAAGTATTGCATTTAGAAGAAAATTCTCGATTTGGGCTATTATAAATATTATAAAAAATATTTTTTACTTTCAATTATTAATAAAAACTATATTTAGACATATATATTAAAGTGTGAAAATACAGTAAGATGGTTGTTTAATAAAAAATTGTTCCTGTGTTAAATGCTTTATAAGTAGTAGACTTTTGATGTTATTCACTAAATACTTTAAAATATCGCTAAATAATACGTTAAAATATCGCTACGTTAAATAAAACTAAGAAAATGTGTGAAGGAATGTGCCCCCTATAAAATATAATAACTTCCTACTGACAAACATTCATAGTTTATAGAAAAAATGTAATTATGAACTTTAATTGTGTTTTTCTCAAAATGAAAATTTTGCTGTTTTTTGTCTACGGAAAACAAGATAACTCAACTAATTATTATAAATTTGTCTTCAAACTTTCAGAGATTGTTTCTTGTATTGGTGGTTATATAACAGACCTCCAGAATGCAGATAACTGCATTATTTTTTGTTTTATGAGATATTTTGCAATAGATAATGTGAAGAAAATGTGAAAAAAAATGGAAAAATATGCTTAACACTCCATAAATTTTTCTAATTTCATGATATTTAAGTTGAGGTTCATAACACTTCAGAGGGCTATACGAAACGGCTCAAAAAGTTTGATAGCTGTATGTACAATAGTTTTTTGTGTAGAGTGTTTTCCGTTAATGAGTTATTTTCATTAAAATTATCTAAAAAATACTCATTAAACAAAAAATTTCCTGTATATTTAAATTTTCTCTATTAAATATGTTTATTTAAATTAATATACAATATAAATTGCAATAATGTTGTGGAAAATATTTATTTTTCAAAAATTTTGTCCCGAAGGTAGTCGGATACCTTAAATATGGGCTGCATTTTTTTTTTTTTTTTAATTTGCACAAGAGTTTTACCATATTTCTTTGATTAGCAAAATCTAAGATTATCATGATTTGAGGTAAGTAGGTATTTTATTTACCTCACACTAGAACTGCATGATGGGCTATTGGCGACTGTCCGGGAAAGATCCCTGAGGATGATCCGATGACACGCCATTGCAATTTTAATCCTCTGCAGATAGGGATAGCTCCCTGCTTTATTGGTAGACCAACAACTTGCGAGCGAAGTCGAGCACTTTACTTTAGAACAGTTTTACACTAGATTGCCCAAGGAAGTCATTTTGACTGCTTTTTAATTTCAATTAGAAAAACAATGATGACACAATTTCTTAGAATTTTGTGACTTTCATAATTATTTTTATTGTTGATATTTACTAATAACTTGTTATATAACTGAAAATAATATCAAAAATATTTAAAATTAATTTTAAACAAATTTCTTTATACATTAGTTATTCTTTCACAATGCAGTCATTTTGACTGCTTTTGGGCAATATAGGCATTTCAGTCCTTCTAGTGTTAACGAAGACGGATACTGCGCACCCTCGGTCCCTACACAGGCTGATCAAAGTGGTTACCCTCCCGCTTACTGACAGCAGCCAGTGATGCTTAACTTCGGTGTTCTACTGGGAACCGTGACTTTACTTATCAGTCCACTGCGGGACTATCATTATTTAAAAGTTTATAAAAGTTTTTGTAACTTTCAATGTTTCCTTTTCTTTGATCTGCAGTTAATTTTAAAATATCATGCTCTTTTCTTACATTTATTGAAGATAGATTTGCCTTTTTAAATGAATCAAGTGATCATTGGAATAATAGTAGTTATTCTTTAACATTTCTTCATTCAATATCAGTTTTCATTCATCTATTCCATAATTTTGTAACTCTCACCTTCCCTAAGAAGAGTAATCCACATCAGTTGATTTGTTCTTTTGAGGCACAAAGAAATTTGCTATTTATGCCTTAGATGCCGAATTTTTATTAAACATATGAGTCATAATATTTTTAATTATTTTGTATTAATTCAGGTCAAAATAAGTGAAAAATATTATGTTTAGTATTTTAATTATTTAGGGTTATGAAATAAAGCAAGAAACACGGGAGTCTTTTTGCGTTAAAGGTAAATCTTTTTGTGCACTTGACACTAGTTAGTTCCAAACAATATTTTTTTTTCAAATGTGCACTTGATTACAGTTATTTAGATTTAAGAGAAGCACGTAATCATTATTGAATATTTTTTAATTTACGAAATACATTATTCATAAATTTCTGAATATGAATGGGGGGGAAATTCCAACTACTTTTTTTGGATTTTATATTTTAGTACAAATATAATTCCGGTAATCAAACAATTTTTTCTAGAAACTATTAGACGGTTTTTTATAATTAGAAAACACCAAAATATTTTTTTACTGGTGTTTAGAGCTTCAAAAAATATATATAAACGGGACACCGGTGTTCCATTTGCGTCAAAGGGTAAAATGCTTTCGAAAGGTGGGTTCAAAAATTACAAGAAACCGAAGATGACCCATCACAGCTCAAAATTCGCTACGTTAATAAAATATTAATATAATAAAAATTTAAAAAAAAAAAACATTTGTTGTTCCCTTGTGCGTGAAAACGATAATCCCGAAAAAATATTTTTGTATTTGATTATTATGTTAATTAATATACATTTCTCGATAATACAACATACACGGGAATTTCATCTTTTATTTTTCCTGCAAAATTTGTAATAAATAAGATCTGACACGTTTAATGCAAACAGAATTAAACAAATTGATGATTAGCATATTTTTAGAATTCTCCTCTCACCTTAGAGATTGTAGCTTAGTCGTTTAAGATCAGCTCAATATTAGCTTTTTCAAGCAATATTCGCAGAACCGTCATAAAATAACCATTTAAAAGTGTATGATAAATATTATTCTCAAATTCATTTTGATTTTTATGAAGCTTTCTTTCGTGTGCTTAGCACTAGAAATGTAGAACACTCATGTCTTTTTTTTTTTTTAATATGATAAAGAAGAAAACAAGTTTTTCAATAGTAAAAGTAAATTTAAAAAATATTTTAATTATGAAGATTTTTTTTTCAAACATCAACCACATAGAGTCTCCTAAAGTCTTAAGAATGAAATTAGATCAGTAAGAACATTTAATTAATTTGCTTTTAGTTTCTTCTATTTATTATTTCTGATAAAACAAAACACATTATCGAAACTCAGCATAAAAGTATAGAGAATTTATTAAAAATTCGCATTATAAAAAAATTTCCCATAAAAAAATTCGACTAAAATTAAATTTGACTTCCTATTCAAAAAATACTAAACGACGACAAGCGCAAAACCATTTAAACTTTAAGTTACATTATCAAATAATTATAAAAAGATATTAACATAAAATTATATTTTTATCTCAGAACTCAGAAAACCATTTAGTCTAGATTCGATTAAAGATTTCAACCTTAATACTTGAGAAAAACTGAAAAAGGTCACTTTTAAGGGTGAAAAATGATTTTACTTTTATTGGCATGAAATGGAATTTGTTTAAAAGATGTAAAACAACTTCATTTATATTCAATATTGCCTCAGGTTAACTATTTGGGGGTAATTTCCATTTTTCACCTGACCAAAAAATACTTTTTGGCGGAAATGACTAACACCGTGAAAGGGACCATTCAGAAAATCAATGATCCGTAAAGATATAGATTAGGTAATGCATTAAGTATCTAACTGTAACTGTGTTTAACACCATTATTAATGTGGTTAATTTTTCACTATAAAAGCAGTTGGGTGCAAGAATTTTTCATAACTTTCACTAGCTTCGGATATCGAATACAGCGAAGAACAGAACAAGCAAGGAATAACAATGCTGACTAAGGTATGAGTCCAAATTACTAATAACAACTTCTATGAATTATATTTTTCTATCTATAATATCTTTTACATTTATAATATCTTTTATATTTATAATATCTTTTACATTTATAACATCTTTTTTATAACTATCACATTTATAATAACAAAACATGTGATATTTTTTTTATAATATTTGTAAAAGGATATACCATTAATCGAAACTTTTATGTTTCCTAATATTTATTATAAGTTTAATATGTAATAATGCTGGCTGAACTTCAGTGAAATATATATCTTCTATCTTTAATACATCTATCGTATTTATATTAACGAATAACATCGATCTTTAACAAGATAAGTATATACTATATATACCCTTACTCGAAACTTTAATTTAGTGTTCCCCATTGCTTAATGAAAGTTTTATATAACAATATTGACTAAAGTTATGAGTTCAATTTATCAATTTCAGTGAACTTTAATTTTATGTCTAGAGACTTTCTTATTAAAAATTACAAACATCTTATTTTTCCTTTTATGGAATAAGTACATATATATATTTATCTAAATATACTTTGAATCGCAAGATTAATTCCTTTATGTTGAAACATTGAAAAACTATGAAGAAAAGTCATTTCTAAATTCAAAACCTCCGCCTTACTTTAAATATTCTTTTTACTAAAGTATATTTAAGAACATGATTCCCTTAGGAAATTTATTTTGGAATTTCATTTCTAAGAACGTGCAACTTATTTTTTTTTATTATTTATATTTTTTTTTAATCGTTTAAATTTATCAATAATATATTAATCGAGGGTGTTTTAAAAGTGCGGAATTTTGCGTTTTGGGACCTAGATTACAACATATTCAAAAATATAAAAAAATAATCTTAAAAAAAAATTTTTAAATAAATTTTATTTTCTAGTTTTATGATTTTGATATCTAAGAATTGGTTTGACTCCGAGATTTCTAGGTGTGTATATTCCGGTTTAAGATCATCATTTATAAATACGATTGTAACTGAAAACAAAATTTTCGAAATTTCAATACAAAAACTAGTTTTTGTTTAATTTTGTTATAATTATAAAAAAAATTTTAATAGATAATGTGGGTTTTAGATATACAATCAAGCCCTGAGAAAATGCCTCGTTTGCACAATCCTTTCGGTGGCTAGGTTTAAATTAGAAATCTATCAGTTATTACTTTTTTATATATTAAATAAATCTTAAAAATATTGGTGTAAAAAAATTTTTTATTTCTATAATGAATCATGCAATAAAAAAACTGATGCATGTTTTGGACAACATTTTCTAATTTTTATTTAAAAGTATGTTTAAAATGTGATATAAATGCAATCAATTACCAATATTTTATTTTTAAATAACGCGAAAAGCCGAGGTAGTTTAGGAATAGAACGTTTGCCTCCCAATCCAGTGAGCCAGGTTCGAATCCCAGCGGTGGCTGGTTGATACGAACGCTGTTCCCGGCTCGCACCGCCCACAGTGTTGGTGTAAAATATCCTCAATAGTAGACGGATGAAGGGTAAGAATCCCCTAGCCGTCGGGCTAATCGTGAGAGGTTTCTGCGGTTTTCATCTTTATGTAACGCAATGTCGGATTAGTTCCATCAAAAAAGTCCTCCATGAAGGCTAGTTTTTCCCAACGCTTGATCCCTTGTATTCTAGGTTGAATTCTAAATTACAAGGATACGGAGTTGAACATTCACAGTCGTCACTTCAGATTTGGGTCGGCTGATCAACACCGGTTATAAAAAAGATATTAAAAAATATCTCAATGACGGTATTCAAAAAATATTTTCACGGTACGTCACGAATATCCTACGATATTCGTGACATCGTATACATCATATACACAGTGACATCGTATATCCTACGATATACGATGTGTTAACATATCCTACGATAAATATAGAACATACGATAATTATACAGTACAATAACGTTGCAATCATAGAGAACGATAAATGTCGAATACGATTACATCTTACACCACGTGCGTAATTGGTAACGATGCTTATCTAATAGGATATTCGGGAGTTTAAATAAATTTCAAGTGGCTAATAAAAACATAGACCAATATAAAAGCAATGCAAATTAGTTACATCAGAAAAACTTCACAAAGTACATCGTGTTTCCTGACTGCATGTCACGATATTAATATTTTAATATCGCACATCATTCGATAAATCGCTCATTTTAGTTTCGATATCTTGTTTTCTAAAAGGTTTTCTTTTTTTAGGTTGACTTTTCTCTTCTAAATTTTTTATCCGATTTTAATTTTAATACAATATATTTTTTTTTAGTAGTATCATTATCTGCATATCATTACAGCAAAGAATATAGAAGACAGTTACCTACATACTCTTTGGTTCCCTATACTCTTAATTTCCAACATTCTTTTTTAATGCGCTAAAAAAAATGTTCACTGTACTTAAAAATAATTGATCAAAAAATCACATATTTTTCCTCATATTACGAATTTTTTCTCACTTTTTTTATCTTTCACTAACAAAAATTCATATCTATCTTGTTATGTCAGTCATTTTTAAGAATAAATCATTGGAGCGTAACAAAAACCATTAGCACCCATCTTTTATTGTCTCTTGTCATTTCCTTTCGGTTTTGTTTAGACTGATTTTTCTAGGTTATGGTTTCACTTTCTATGATTCCTCTTTTTCTTTTATTATTTTTGTGCAAAAACAAAACTTTGAAATTCTTAGTGTAGATAAGGATACAATTTGTCAAAAAAAATAATTTTCTTGTTATAGCATATTAGTTTATAACATAATATAAATAATTCTTAAACTGCCTTTATCAATCAAATGAATGATTTTATAGACATCATATTTTACTAATTATTATTATAGCTTATGTTCTTTCTTTCGTATAATTATTTTTTTAAAAAGAGATTTTTTAATAGGTATCGAGACATTTTTTTAAATATAAATTAGCCTTCGAGGTATAATACTGTTTTATGTTAAGTTTTAGGTGAGCATAAAGTTAGCCGTGGTTAATAATCAATAAAATGCTATGGCATTTTTAATTTACCTCATTACTAAAATTTTATGTAACTCACTACTAAAATTTTATGTAAAGCAAAAAAAAAATTATTTCATTCTTCTTATTATATTATAACCACAGCCATGACCTTTAAAATGCTTTTAAAAACTATTAGCAACTTTCTAAGAAATTTTTATACGATTGCGTTTAACTCAGCTTCAGTATTAAAATATCACTCTGAAGAAAAAATATCTGTACACACGGTGTTCTGCGATCACCACCCTCAAAGTAAAATTTCAGAGCACTTGTCCATCCTGAAAGGATAAATTCTCACATTAAAGATCGCAAATTAACATTTAAATCAAAAAATAAAACTTTATCGAAATCTGACGAATCATCAATAAGCGGAGAAAAAACGTCAAAACTAACTCCTTGAGCTGAAAAAATTAAAAATATTAATTGCCAAACCTTTAATCGTGAGCTACTACGTTTTTGGTTGATTACGTTTACACTACGTTTGTTTAACTTTGATACTTCTACTGACATAATTAACCAAAGTTTTTTTTTAAAGAAAAAAACAGTTGGTAGCTCTGTTTGTTGCTGAACGGTAGCTGAGGAGCTTCCTAAGTTTGGTGACCACTGATTCAGAGAACGTAAAAACTGATAATTAGAAAAACTTTCAAATTTTGCCCGATAATAAGACCCATTTTCATGATTTTAATCCCGTCTTCCTCAATAATATTTCGCCTGACTTTAATAAAGTTTTTTACTTGGTTAAATATTAATTCGCGACTAGTAATGTGTGCGTTTTTTAATTCATTTTTAATAAAGGTAATTAACAAATAAATATTAAGGGCAGTGTATTAAGAAAGTAAAATTTTCGTAAAATCGCTAGACTATTTTTAATATCCATCTAAATTAGGTAGTACTCTCTTTAGTGCAGGCTGGAAAAAAAAACCGCAGGAATAACGTAATATAAACGGAAAAATGACCCAGTGGTAACGTAAAAACAACTAGAAACATAAACAACTTGTACACAAACTTGTTAATTTCAGATTGATTGATTATATGATTAACTTTCAATTTGGCTAACAGTTAACAAATATAATGATAAAATAATTATAAGCGTACTTTTATAAAGTGCATGCAGTTTTTTTTTATTTTTTACTTGCTTTAATTACTAAATAAGTATGTATTTTTCAAATGTATTTTCCAGATCATCATAGCTTTTGCTTTCATCGCAGTTGCTGTTGCCAGCCATCATGAAGAGCATCATGAGGTATTTATTTATTTATTTTATTATCATTACAATTATTATTGTGACATTTGGATGCTTCCGCATGACGTCATCGTATGTAAATCATGACATTTAGAGCCCCTGAATTAAACTAATAGGACAGTATAGGAGCCTTAATGACATTTGTCGATTCAGAAGCCAATCAGGTTCTACACACACGTGACGTCGCATGCAGGTATCCAATTAAATCACATGATAAAACATAATCGCTTATCGAGTTGCAAGTACCCAATTACAATTTCATTATAATATTATTACATTATGATAATAGCGCATAAATTACATTATGTTTAATTCTAGCATTTTGGCTTAGAGGTTATGAAGATAATTTAAAAAACATGTTTTCTGAAAGAAAAAAAAATGACAAACCCTTTGGCTTACCTTTAAACTGAACTGAACAAAATCATATTTTATTCTTATCAAAAATTACAAATATGCATAAACTAGAAATTTATTTTGAAAATTCGTTTTATCTTAAATATAAGTAAAATAAAGTTTTAATTAATGTGTTACTGAATCTTCTTACCGAAAAGAAATTTTCCACCTGATCATTTGAATAAAATAAAATAAGTTCTTTTTTTAAGAGAGAAATATCTTCCTTACATTTTAACACGGAATTTATTGGAATACACAGACGTCCGCATGACGAAAGTTCTTCATTTAACGATCAATTATCAGTAATCAAATGACAAAATTTCGTCGTATACTGACTGTTTGCAAAACGGTGACCCTCCGAGGGTTCAAAGAAACGTCAGCAAAGTGTTAAAATATGAATTCATTAACTTAGTTTAGATGTTGGGGTGCAATTCTTTTGGAATTCTCCAAAACCGAAAAATTGTCATAAATCAATCTAATACAAAAATTAATTAATTCTAATACGACTAAATATAATTATAATACCAGAGTTTTTTGTTTTTCCCGGAGACATAATCATAGTTAAAAATTTAAGATAGGCATGTAGGCTCAAGCTCTCCCAATGGAGTAATTCAAATAACTATTTAAGTAATTGTGATTTGCAATTTCGGACACCCCCTCCCTCGTCAGCAAAAAATGTAAATCAAAACCCACTTTGCTTTTTGCTGTAGCTTTCAATTTTACAGTAGTAATCTAATTTTTGGATTAAATTCAAATAAATGAACTTTGCATAAAACAATATTTATTTTTCAATTCATTTTATAAAATTTTAAGCAGAATAATCTTTAAAAGAAGGGTACTGAGAAGTATTTTTGGAAGAATTCAAAAAATGGAGTGTGGCTTAGAAGATCAAATCTAGAGCTTTATCATTCATATAATGAACCTGACATTATTAACTTTATTAAACGACAAAGAATAAAATGGGCAGGACACGTTATCAGAATGGACGAAGACTGTACCACAAAAAGAGTTTTCATATCCAGACCAGTTGGCACACGAAAAAGAGGCAGGCCAAATTTGAGATGGATAGATGGCCTAGAGAACTAAAAATTGGAAAACACTGGCAAAAAAAAGGTTAGATTGGAAAAAACATCTTGAGAAGACCAAGGCCCACCCTGGGATGTCGAGCCATTGATGATGATGATAATCTTTAAAAATCTTTGATGCGTTCCTTCTAGAATTTAAACTCCTGGGATAAATTTCCAAAAATTTCTTTCCAAAAACTTAAACTGTATTTCAAATTCGTAAATTTTTAAAATGTAATGTTTTCCAATTTTCTTTTTACTTAAAAAGAAAATGAAATTAATGTGATTTTAATGCCTTACATAGGCATTCTTCTACCCTCTCCCTCATCTCAACAAAAATAACCAAATCAACAACCCCTCTTCTCACTTGGTGCTTATGCAATATTTGAACGGTTCCAACTTTGATATTCTATTAACTGCATATTTAATCTTTTAATTCCAGCACCATCATCCTCAACCTTACAAGTTTGGTTATGAAGTGAAAGGTAAGGAAGGATCCCACCACAGGCACGAGGAAGGTGATGGACACGGAACTGTCAGAGGCAGCTACGGATATGTTGACCACCATGGAATCCACCGTGAAGTCCACTATGTAGCTGATAAGGGAGGTTTCAGAGCTGAAATCAAGACCAATGAACCAGGAACAGCCAACCAAGATCCCGCACATGTCAAAATCCATTCTCATGCAGCTCATCATCACCACCATGAGCCTCATCATCATGGGCACTGGCAATAACATGCTTAAAATGGAGAAAAAATTATTAAAATCTTTTTCAAAGATTGCTGGGATCCTAGCTTAACCAAAAGCTGCTTTTGTTTTTCGTGCTGTACAGTATATATCTATAACGCATAAACCTCCTATTAATTATTTAAGATTATACTTGATAATACTAAATAAGTAATTAGAAATATTTTTGTATGAATTAATTTCATAATTTATTATTAATTATAAGTATTAATTAAAATGATTATTAATTTCAGTTTTAATATTTAATTTACATTAAAAAAATTATGAAATAAATTTTAATTAAATTTGTTAAGACATTATAAAATTTTACTATGGAATTACATAGATTTTAATATTCATTATAATTATATATTTGTAATTTATTGAAAGAAAATTTTTTTACATATGTTTTTAGAATAAGTTGTAGACAATAGCTGTAAAAAAAGTACAGTCTGTTCTATTTTTTATATATATATGACTATAAAAATATGTGATAGGGTATATGTCTGGAAATACACTGATGTGCCAAATACTGTTTCTGACTTTCTTTAAACCAGCCATGGTTGTTGATGGGAAAATGTGCTCTGGGTAAATATGCTGGTAAAATCTGGTATTTTGTGACTTTTATGATTGTTAATTTATTGCTTAGTAAGTGTTGAATAAAATGCTTTTTAATTTATATTTGAATAGTAGTAATTTTTATTGAGTTTTTGATGAAATTTCTAGGGAACTGACAATAAGAATCTCACTAACGAATTCTCTAATAACGAATTTAAATAAAGAATGTCAGGCATTTTTGTTCTTAATTCCTTGTCACGATTATATTTTATTTGTACGAAAATTAAATAAGACATTAACTAAATATGTTAAAATACATAAATTCACTTTATTACATCAAAGATATTTACCTACATAAGATAAACAGATGAATTATATTACATCAAACAGAGGTGGCGAAATTTTTTTAATGCATAATACATGAACACAAAAGGAGCATAGGATATCACAGATATGATTAAGGAATTTAGATACTGAAAGTTTCAGTAACAATAAAACAGATACACATAAATAATTAAAAAACATAGCAAGAAGATACAGAGGAAAAAAAAAGGGAACCACAATGGCTTAGTGGTTAAGGCGCTGAATTTTCATAGTGAAGAACTTGAATTTGATTCCCATTGGAATCTTAAAGTCCGCTCAGCTTCAAATTGATGGGTATCAGCTGACGAAGTAAAGCAGTAAAAGTAAAGGCAGCCTGCATGCAATGGTGACCATATCGTCACAAATATGCTAATGGGATCTAAATTATGGGGTCTTAATCTCCATGATCCTATTTGCGCATAATGGGCTGTAATAGAAATGCAAAAAAAGATTGAATTATATTCTTAATTAAAAAGAAAAAAAATTTCAGCTGAAGGGGAACAAATGGCTTGTCAATTTATGTTTCAAATTTTTCTGTTTTCTAATTTTGTCTAGAAAAAGCAATAAAAACAAAATATTCAAACTAAAGATTTGCAAAATATTTTAAGATCTTTAATTTGTCAGGTCAGAATGAAAAAGAAATTTTAAATCCCTTACAATTTTACAACTGAAAAGAATTTCTGGCTATGGCCATGTTACAAGTTGTTATAAAGTATACAAAATACAAAACTGAACATTTTAATAACTTTTTAATAATAATCACAGATCATATTTTAATAACTTTAACAATAGTTGATAATTTTTTTTGGTAAGATGCTTAAAATAATAATTAAGAACCATATATTTTGTTTGGAAAATAATGAAAACTAAAAGTGTGTAAAATTGACAAGAAACAAAAAAAAATCACTTTTTAAGGGCTTTAAAAACAGTTTTACAACTTAAGAACTGTTTAAAGATTTTAAAAGCTTGCACAAATTTTAAAATATTACAAAAAGATTGTTTTTTGAGGGAGACAATATAAATTAAGCTGAATAGAAAATTGGATTGAAAAATTACTAGACAGAGTTTTCACAAAATTTTAGAAATTAAATTCTTTGACTTACTTATACAGGTAATTTAGAAAAATTTTAACAAAATTCTTGATCACATTTTTGCTATATGCAGCAATATTTCATCAGAAATACATTTTTTTTCCTCACTAAGATACTTACTTTTTGATACACAGTATGTCAAATATTGCATTTTGTAAAAACAAAATTCCATTAGGTTAACTCTAAATATGTAGATTTTATAATAAACAAGTATATAAATTATAGGTAAAAGCAATATTTTGTAGAAAAATTTAAAAACTCAATCAAATATAATTTATTAAAGTAATCTCAGCTATTTAGTCTGCTGTCATACATTTTACTTCTGATATAGAAATTAAATTAAGATATACAGATATCTTGATTTTTAAAAGCATAATAATATTGATCTGCAAATATGGTCATTTTTTAGAAAACGAAATTCAAAGAGCTTTTTTTATAAATTGACAATCCAACTTTCAAAAAAAAAAATCAAGGCACCTTGCTGTCATTCCGATAACAGCAATGAGACGGGAGGACTTTCCAATCATAATTGTAAGAAGGTCTACTTTTATATTCTGACAAACAAATGTTCCCAGACTTTACAATGTGGTTGTATTTAGACACCATCATTGAAGTAGATTGCTTATGGGTTACTAAGTATGAGTTTAAACAGCCTCTGGATAAATACTCGGTATCAAAAAGTGGATCATGAAGTCTTTGGATATCAAAGGGAGCCAACCACGTACCAAGAGCAACATCTTCATTACGATACAGAAACAAAAGGTCCGACATCAGCACAATTTTACTAACTAAATCTTGAGTTAGAATGTAACCACCACCTTTGGCATAAGGTAAGTATCGATCACAGAGAAACCAAACAGACTCCGCCCATTTACCTTTAGATTTCACGCGAGCTTGACCATCGAAGAATCCCCAATATAACTTCTCCTTTGGTTGCTGTTCTATTTTGGCATACAGAGCATCGAGGCGAACAAAACTGTCATCATCTACTTTAAGTAGAAAAGTAAAGTTCATGTGACTATCAAGCCACTGAAAAGTTTGTAACAGCTTATTGGAAAGTTTGGAAAAAGAATCACTTACGGTATCTAGCAATATTAAATCAACAAACTGAAAGTGTTCTGCATTCAATGCGTTTATTTGCTTAAAGTTCAAGGAAGCTGAACCTATCACAAAGAAATGACGAATACTTAAATTCTTTTTTGTTAAAAGCCATGTTCTTCTTATTACGCGTCTTTTCTCATAGTTTTCAGGAGCACTAAATATTATTACAATAAAAAATTCTGATTGTTTTGAAAATGATGGTGAATTAATTTTACTCCTGAGTTCTTGCTTTTTCGGTTGTTGTTGACAACCTTCTGAGATTCTAAGAACTGATGTGGAAATGTAAAATCCAAAAACAAAAATGATTAGAATGACTAAATAGAGAAAGAATGATCTCCGAAACCTGCAATAAAAAATGACTATGATAAATGAAAGAGTGCATAGTAAATAAATTTTAAATTCAATAGTATAAAACAATTTTTGACTTATAAGATTTAAAAGGGACTGATTAGAAAAAATTTGGGTCAATGAATCCTTCACAAATCATTTTATCATAAAATCAACTCCTTACAAATCATTTTACTGTAAAGATGGACACTTAACAAATTATTTATAGTAAAAAAAATCACTTAAAAATTATTTCACTGTAAAGATGAACACTTTAATTACTTTACAGTAAAAATAAACTTTTACAAATTATTTCACTGCTAAAATGGACACCTTACAAATTATTTTGGTATAGAAATGAAAATTTCACAAAATGTTTTATTATAAAAACACTCTTCGTATTATTTATGATATTTAAAATAAATCCTTCACAAAAAAGTAATTCATAATTTTAAAGCTCCTTTGAAGACATGGTTTTTGCCAGGGTTGGCAAGATTTTGCCGCAGGTGGAAAAAACCATGGTAAATACCGGTAAAAACCGTCCTGGCAAAAACAGGTTTTTGCCAAGCAAATTGGCAAAAAGTGGCAAAAACCTATATTTTCCATGATGAGAGGACAAAAACACATTTTTGATACAAAATTGAAATATATACTATGAATATAAATAATTACAAAAAAATTAACAAAATTATTATTCCATAATTGAATGATAATGTAATAATATATCTTTTTAGTAGTTTAAAACATTATTGATTGGAAAATTTGTGATTATTCCCTTTTTTCCAGTGAAATGAACTTATTTTAAATTAATATAACTATAATTTAAAGCATAAAATATCTATCAACATGTGTAGTTAATTATTGTACAAATAATAAATAAAAAATTTTATAATAAATAATAATATTATAAAAATAATAATATTTATTTATTTGTAAAAAAAACATTTACTTTAGGATTCTAAAATGAAAAGAGATCAAAAACTTTCTATCTTTTAAAAATTATTACCCTTATATTAATTATTAATATGTTAAAAATAATTTTTTCATGTAATGTATCAAAATTATTATTCCTTATGATTGATTTAAATTTGTTTCAAGTATTTTGTAATTATTTAATCAGCAATTTAGATAATTTGGTTTTTACCAGTTTTTGCCGGTTTTTACCAGGTTTCTGCCACTGTCCTGGCAAAAACCCCTTTTTGCCGGCAAAAACTCCAACCCTGGTTTTTGCCTTGAAAGAAAGAACTTAATTTTATGTTAATTTTTATTAAAAAAAAAATATGAGTATATTTTTGACAGATTCACAAAAAGGCAGGATGATAAATCCTTGGTTAGACCTGAAAAATATAAATTTTTAGTTAACAGGCAGTGGCCAGTAGACTCAAATAACTTAGTAACGACTTTTTCTTTAAACTTATTGAGTCGATGATAAACATCGATAGGACTTTTTCAGTATTTAATAATCACTTTTAACAAACTTCTTTTCACTTGGATTAAATAATATTTTTTGAAAAAATAAATCATATTAGAAATAATCTACCGCTAAAAAAAGTTATTTCTACAGTAAAAATAATATGTGACAAAATTTAGTTAAATGTACTGACTTTCAAGAACTTTAAAAATACTTGGAAAGATATACATTACAACTTTGACATACGTGAATTGTTAAAGAACTCTTCTTTCACAAGAATCTTTTGATCTCAAATTGATGAACTCGGAAGGATCAAAATTTTGAATGGAGACATTAAACATTTTAATGAAAATTCTGTTACCCATAGTATTTTTCCTGATTGATAAACTTCTATCATTAAATGAATCTAAAAAAAAGATGGGAAAAAGAGATTGGTTGTTGATTTAATATAAGTTGCCTCTGCTTTTTGTTGACTCGCCACAAGATAGTGTTTATTTTTAGGTTTACCCCTGGTTTATAAGAAGCAATGGTAGGTGACATAAATTTTTTTTTTATTATATAGAGCAGCAGTTCCCAGACCCTAGGTGTCCATGGAAGAGTTAAACGAGTCCTGCATTAGGAATTAATACTTTTTATAACCAGTGACTAAGTTTTGACATCTCAAATTATATTTAGATCCAACCTCTATTTCATTTAATCATTTGGTTTTTTTATGAAATCATTTCAAGTAAAATGCCAAAGAAAAAAGAAATGGCATTTTTAAAAGAAAATGCAATATTTCTAGTAACAATATATTGAACAAATTATGAAAAGAACAAGCATTTATGAAATATTGCATAAGTATTTCCTATAATGCTTTTCAAATCAAAATAAAGTAACTAATAACTTTAATAAAGAAATATGTTTTCCTAATAACTATTTTTAACATTTATAGTAGTTCTTTTTTAAGTTTTCATTTGGAAGTAAATCATAATGTGTCGCATTTTATTCATTTTCAGCTTATGTATGTACACCAAAAGTAAATTCAAAGCTAGACTGGATGTAGCGCAAGGACTGCGAATTTAACTGTCAGACATAAAACATAAATTAAGATTATTAATAATAAAACTATTGAAAACCTTTATATCTCTAATTAAACACTTAAAAATAGTTTTCTTATAGGTAATAACGCTCAAAATTGCTGCAATAAACTTAATAAATTAAGTCAGGGTTTAGCCTAAAGTAGGTTGAGTACTGAGGGCTCCGTAGCCAAAAAAATTGGGAAATGCTGATATATAGCAAAGAAAAATTATGATAGCTTATAAAGTGATCATAAAAGATCAGACTATAATTCTTTAAAGACTGATATTAAAAAGGAAGGTCCTACGAACCATCTTTGGCGCTATCCTCGATAACAACTGGAGAAAAAGATATAATTCTGAAATATATAAGATCTTTAATAGTGATGATATCATTAAATCTATTAAACTAAGTAGAATGAGATGGGCCAGACATGTAGTAAAAATGAGCCCAGAAGAACTGCATTAAAAGTCTCTAATGCAACCCGCTCCAATAAAATGCCAAGAGGAAGGCCCAAAAAGAGATGGAAAGACTGTGTGAATGAGGATATTGCCATCCTGAAAGTAAAGAACTGGAAAACAATTGCTGGGAGAAGGGCAGAGTGGGAAAAGCTTCTGAGGAAGGCCCAGGCTCACAAAGGGCTGTTGTGTCATTGCTGATGATGACTGATACAAATATAATATTTTTTTCTCCATAAAATAAGTTTGATTTTAAAACAAAAGGTGAATAAAAATAAGTATTTCTTCAAATTTAAAAATACTTATCTTTAATACTTATCTTTATACTTAATACTTATCTTTAATACTTTATACCAACTGTTATCAGAAGTCTCATCGACACGTTTAGGAAAAAGAAAGAAAGAAAGCTTTTGTTTTTACTACAGTGTTGGTTCGGCAGACATAACATTGAAAAAGTGGCAAGAAATAACTGGAGCACACATAACTGTAACTTTAATGATTAAGTCCAATAATTTTTAACTATTTATCAAAAATACAAAAATGTGGAGGTTGGCCTTTAGTGCTGAGTCAAAATTTAGAGTATACACACAAAAACAAAAGCTTAAATAAAAAAAAAAATCAACCAATTTTAGAAGAGTTTAAGAGTTTTTTAAATAGCTGCTCTGTCTGAGTGCTAAAACAGTTCTGCAGTTACGAGTTGCTGGCGCTGCTGTTGTGCGTGAATGTGTACTCCCATAAAGAAATTAGGGAAGTTTAGTCACACCCGAAAAACCAGAAACTGAAATATCTTTTAGAAAAATAGTTTTAAAAAAAGTTTTTGATTTAAAGAAAATTATTTTAAGGTCAAAGTTACATAACATAATAAACACTAAATAGAAAAAATGAAAGTTTTTTTTTTAAAAAGAAAATAAAGTTATTTCAATTTAAAGGTAAAATGTATCACAAAATAATAGTAAAATTCAATTTTTGGAAACCTTGGTTTAATCATATCTTGTTGCAAGAGTTACACAATTTTCTAATCTTCCTTATTATGGAGACATCTTCAACAGCAATAAAAGTTTCACCATCTAAAATATTTGTTACAATAAAATATAATTAAAGAAATAATCAACTGATAAAAATTCTCAGAATACTTCATTGTTACCAAGAAATGTAAGTAAAAACACACATGAGGGATTTATATTCAAAACATGTTTTCAAAAATTTAAGATATTTCATTTCTTTTAAATTCATAAATTTAGGATATTTTAGTTTGAAATACATAATTCTTCACATAAATGTAAAAATTAGCCTTTATTCTCTTTGAGAGCAGATAAAATATTGATATGAACACTGTTAATAATATTGAAAGAATTGAAATCATTTAAAAAAAAAAAAAAGTTTTCTTGTTTGAATGAGAAATATAAAATCTGACACATTAAGAAGCATACAAAAATTTTTTTTACAATTAATATAAATATAATACAATATACAAATTTCAAGTTAATAATTTGATAATTATAGTGATATAGAAAGAAGAAATTACATAAATAGAATGAGAAATAGAACTGTATACACAAAAATATTTGTTCTCTTTACCATTTAGGTCCAACAAAACAATTCACTCTTTCCATCATTTGAAAAGCGATGAACAACAGTAAATATAAAAATAGGGCTGCTGTGCAAAAGTTGCCAAAACTTGGCGATTACTCTGACGATTATTATGAGACAGAAATCTCCCCATAGTGGCTAGGAGTTATACCCTTCGAGTTGGTTCTCTTGGAATTTGAACATCTATTTCGGTGAAATTTTCACATCGAGATATGTCGCGCTAACTACAATCGTCAATGTGCTATTTAAACTTGCAAATTATTTTTAAAAAGATATGTAGATGTTTGTTCAGGGTTTGCTTAGAGTTATACCTCTCGAGTTGGCCCCTTTCATTGATGTTTTTTTAGTTCCTCGAGGGCCGCTGCTCGGAAGTTTCCAAAACTTAGTAATTATTCTGCCACAGATCTCGATACGGAAATATAGCCTTTGAATCGGCTGTTAATCTCTTACAAATATATATGAAAATAAATTTAAAATATATAACAAATGAAAACAAAATAGAATGAAATTTTTTTTAAAAAAGCGACATATTAGTGAAAGAGATCTAGATATCTTTTTATTAAAATTATTATATTATATATCTAGGTCTAAACATATATATATATAGATTATGGTCTCAGAAAAGAAAAATCTTATATTATACGCAAGAACAATGAAAGCAGTAAAAGCACGACTTGGCTTAAAAGTCAAAGAAAACTAATTTATGAAAATTTTAAATAATAATAACAATTTTATAAAATTACCGGGGAATTAGCTGAAACAAGCAACCTGAAGTTGGAAACCACCATACCAAAACAAAAACAAACTCTTTTTACAGCCGTCTAGGGTCTGTTCTTTTGGTCATCGTCCTGCTTGTGTAAACCTAAAAAATATTAATTTCTTTAAAAAATGAAACCAATCACAAAAATATTTTAACTTTTTAATAAATATAAAAAAAAATTTAAATTAAACTAATATTTTTATGAGCTCTAAATTAATATAATTTTTAAATTTCAGTCATGTAATAATCATTTTATCAATATATCTTTTGATTATTTCACTCAATCAATCAATCAGTTCACTGTTTTTCCGGCATTTAGGCTCCAAAATTTTTGGTTCTAGTTTGGCTCTGTTTCTTTAATTATTTTGTAAGTCATGCTTGTATGATTTAAAAATTTTAATTAGTGTTTGTCTTTGTATATTTACTATTTTAAGAGCATGTTTACCCAGTTATGTTTTATAAATTTTACTGTATGTAGGAATAAGAGTTACTTATATGTAAAACTGCTACTTTTTTTTTCGAAATTTTATAATTTTATTTTTCTATATCATTAGATAAAAAAGTAAAACCTAATAGTCATTTTAAGAAGGGGGATCTATATTTTACCTGTTCGCGCCAACTGCCATCTCTAAAAGTCTAAATTATTTTATTTGTTTTCTATTTTTATTAGCTTATTTTTTTGGAAAGATACTGTTTCTTTAAAATTAAGTACATTGCGGATTATTTATACCTAATTTTCTTCTATGAATTAAAATTATAATGACAATTTAATACTGGCTTTTAATTTATAAATGTTTTACATGCAATTTTAGGATTTAAAATGAATTATTGTACTAACAAGGCAATATTCTACAGTTTTCAGGCAGATTTATCCTCAAAAAAGCACATTGCAAATCAACAAAGAAAAAAAATTGGGGCTCATTAGAAATATAGAGTAATTTACTATTCAGTCAATAAAGTAAAAATGAGTTTAAAAAATTAAAATTACAAGTGAATAAGTAATTATTCCTGTAATATAAGTAAACAAAAATATTTATGAATGTCAAAACAATATCAATTAGTATTTAAATTGGAAAAATATCACAATATATTGTTAAATATCAATATTTTTTCTAATACATCTCAAAATTAAAATTATAATTTTTTAATTATAAGAAATAATGTTTATGTTGATGAGAATTTTTAAAAGTAGTTACTAACGCATGGTCCTGATGACCTAATAGTAGATATTTTTTTTAATGAATAGCTAATCGTTACAGTTCTCACTATAATTATATACTTCTTTTTTCAACTTTTGGGGTAATACCTAATTTATGACAGGTGATGAGGCAATACCATAACTTTTTAATTGTTTGAAAAGATCGTGTAATTAAAACAATTCTGAAATGCATTGATTGCATTTAAATGTTGCTTTTAAAAAAGTTTTATATCAATTTTTTAATTTCCTATATTTTTTTTTCAGAGCTACTTCAAAATACAGATAAAATGGATAACAGTTTGATTGTTGAAGGATTTAATATTGCAGAATTGTCTGATGAAGAATTAGCTGAACGTTTACAGACATTTGGCTTTAATCCTGGACCAATATTAGGTATTTATGTTTAGTTTTTCATTAAACTAATATTGCCCATTAAATTCACTGAAACGTTAACAATTGATTGACACTGAGTGAAATATAGCTAATTTTTTGTTACTAATGCATGTATATTATTAATTAACTTATAATTAATTCTTTAATATCTTACAGACTCTACTCGTTCTGTATATCAACGTAAGTTAGTTAGATTAATGAGAAATGAAGATTTTGAGGAAGCAGAAGCAGCTGGGTCAAGTGATGTCGATGAAGAAGTGAGACCCAGTCCGATTCTCAGCAGTACTTTATTAGATTATTCCTCATCCAGTGCTTCCAGTTTTAGGTAAGATATACCTGAATGCCATTTTCTAAATGTTTCAGTTAATGTGTCATAATACAGTGATACCTCGAGATACGAGTTTAATTCGTTCCGTAACCTTGCTCGTATGTCAATTTGCTCGTATCTCAAAGCAATTTTCCCCATTGAAATTAATTGAAAAGCCATTAATCCGTTCCAGCCCCAAAAATGCTACCCCCAATTGTTTTTGTTACGTGTTTTTGAATAAGAAAAATGTATTTATAAATGACAAATATTGTATAAAAACATAATAAAAAAGAATGTAAAGCAAAAAAAAAAAAACTGGTTTTATAAAGTGTACATACATATTTGTATTTTGGTCACTTAAATGCAACTTGCACACATCTTAAATGCTACTGTATGCTTAATTTTAGTCATTGCTTTTCTCTTCACCGGTCTTTGCTTTTTTAGCTGGATTTAAAAAAAACTGTCCAAGGAGGTTTGTTTCTTCCTCCTTCTCAGAATGCTGCAGAAATGAGTTAGGCGAGTGTCATGAAATAGCTCCGATGCACGACCAGACGCAACTTTTTCGGGATGTTTCCTTGCCCGAACTGTGAAATTCTTGACCACATTCCCAAGAACACTTTATCTCACTTGTAGAGATAAAACCTCCTCCACCTCTGGCTCTTCCTCGAAACCAATTTCTTGCAAAATCCCCGAATGCTGCTGCGACGGTAACTCTTGTAATTCCTCTGTCGTCAGTTCCTGAGAGTGCTCCTAGATGAGCTCGTTCACGTCTCTCTCACCCATCACCAGGTCCATGGATTTTCCCAGAGACCCAATATCCTCCTCCACTGGCACTTTGGGTTCGAATCCTTCGAAGTTATAGACTCAGGCCTCAGCACAATTTTCGGCTACAGACTCACTCTGACCACAGCTTCTTCCATGCAGAGGTCAAGGTCCTCGTTGCAACGCTCAGCCAGGCCTGATCAATAGTTCTGAGGCATATCACGATGTTAAAGGGGTCCTCCCAGTACTCTCGAAGGGTGAGGCTTCTGTTTTCTGTCACCTCAAAGCAGCGCCGGAACAGGTGCTTAGTGTACAGCTTTTTAAAATTAGAAATCACCTGCTGATCCATGGGCTGCAGGATAGGAGTGGTGGTAGATAGAGAACCTTTATAACCTTGAACTCTTCGAGGATGTCATGTTCGAGGTTCGGTGGGTGAGCAGGAGCATTGTCGAGGATGAGAAGGGCTTGCCTGGCCGTTGCTCGTATCTCAAAACAAAACTTCGCTCGCTCGACAGCTCGTATCTCAAATAACTCGTATGTTAGGGCACTCGTATCTCGAGGTACCACTGTACTAGGTACCTTTTTTTTTTTTTAATTTAAAAGATACGAAGTGTAAATTCTACTAAAATTAATATATATGTATAAGCACAGGTAGCATTAGTGTTAAAAAAACCTGGATGGCTTTTATGTTATTTGTTCCAATTTATTTCCAAAAGTTGCCTTTACCAATTTATTTCATTCTAGTGCAACCCGCGAACCAAAATATATTGGTAGTAATATTTTTGCCGACAATTTTTTTAGAAAATCTATATAGGTTTTAAATACTTTTAAGTTTTATACCTTAAAATTTGATATCTATTGCACATTAATTGTTTAATACATAGGTGCACATTAAAGTTATTATAGCCAGAATTTTTTAACATGCAATTAAATGTTTTTAAAAATCTACTTCTTATTTTAATTTGTAATTCAATACTTTTGTTTTGTACAACTTGATAAAAATCTGACAGTAATATTTAATGTTCCTTCAAACATAAAAGAGTCCTATATAAAATATTGATAAGGTTGCAGCCCACCATTTGACTGGTGTTTTAAATTGCGGCCCCCCGCCTCATGTAAGTTGGAAACTACTGGTCTAGAATAATGTTTTCCTAACTTCTTTAATATTTAGATTTAGAAAGTTAAATAAATCTTGAAATATAAGAGGTAAAATCAAGTGTAAAATTCTTCTCAGTAATAAAATTTCTAATTAAGTTAATAAACTTCAGCTAATAATCTTAATCCCGATAATAAGATTTCTTAAAATAAATAGAAAAAATCTCGGAAATTTTTTTTTAAACAAATAAATCTAATCGTGATTGAACGGATCATTGAAAATGTAGGCGAACTTGTGAAATCTTAAAGTAACTGGTCCTGTGAGCTAGCTAATTGATTTTTGCTTTTTAATTTCTACCCTAGAATAGCACTACTTAAATTGTGTCAATAAAACCTTTTGCTTGGTCGTGTTTTTATCTTCTCTTAAACAGTAAAAAAATATCGCTTTTTTGATAGAAATGTGTTTTAAAAATTATAGAATGTTTAGTGATATTTGTGAATTTTTTATTTTTTCTAGTGTAGATGATCTGAGAAGAAGACCCCTTTCCCAATATGACGGCAAAGAGTATGTAATATTTTTTTCCTTCTAATTTTTATTAAAACAAAATTAAGTTTTCTGAGTACACTCTTTTCAGAAACTGATGCTAGCGTTTATTCTATAAAAAAAATTACATTACCTACAAACATGGTATAGGTTTAAAAATTAATGTTAGCACAATTTAAAATTTATACAAAATTGTTAATGTAATTTAAAACTGTGTCACATCAACTACAAAATTAGTGAAATATTTTTGTTTTTTTTTTAAAATAATAATTTTGTACTTTTTTAAATCACATTTCGATTATGTTTTTTGTAGTCAATAAATCTATTTTTATTTCATGAATTTAACAAATTTTATTTGTCTGCCTTTTTTATTTTAACTGTACAAAGGGCAATATAAATTCTAAGGTATTGTTAGTATTTCAATAGATTTTTAACTGACGAAAAGCTTAATGTCAGAATTAGGAGCACACTCATCTGACTTAAAAAAAGAGGAAAGTAAATCCATTGTTCACACTTGAAAATACTTGTACAGTACAGAACCCGTTATCCGTAAATCAGAAAACCAAAAAACCGGAACGAAATTCGGTAAATTTTCCCGCCATTTTAAAAAAAAATATTTTTTTCCTTGTACGATTTTAGGATTTTTCTTTCTTTTTTGAAAGATGTTTACCTTACCATAATTTTGGAAATAATCATTAGTGTATTACTTCATCTTTTTTTATTCTTTTTAAGATTATTTCCAAATATTTTTTTAGTTGGGTTTAACGATAAAAAAACGGCTTTTTGTAGCGATTCAGAAAAACGGAGAAATCAGTTATCCGGAATATTTATTAATTATAATTAATCGTTCCGGATAATCGGTTCCCTACTGTACTATCTTCGAGCAAATTTATATTTGTTTTTGTTCTAATTATCTAGAGGAGTTAAACTTTCAATCTGGTATGTTAAACACAAAGCATACCATGTCGGGTCAAAAGATCCGTTTTTGTATGTTGTATTGTATTGTATTGAAAAGTTTTGGTATGTTTAGTGTTAATTAAACTAAAAGTTTCGGTATGCAAAGTATTCCATCATTTCCTTAATTGAAATGATGAACAGAGGAATTTAAGTAAAAATGAATCCAGTACATGATAGCAGAGGTTCTCAAAAGTGATGTAGTCCATTGGCTGGCATTTTTGTTTCATACTCACAAAGACCACTTCTCAAATTGGAAGTGGCATGAAATTTTTATCAAAATTATTGTTTTTAAATGGCTCACAAGAAGGAAATGTTCTTGAAGCTTTATATTTCTGAAAAGCATTCTTTTTTTAAATTTTGTTAATCTTTTATGAGCTATAAATCTCATTTTCAGAAATGAACTATCTAACTATGTGTATCTCACAAAATGTTTTGAAAAATGGATTTAAAATCTTTTTTTTTTTTTTTTTGGCACCAATACTATCACCAAATGTTATTTGTTTGGTGATTTCCAGAACTAGAGGTTTATTTACAATAAATTAGGAACCACCACTAACCCAGATGCCAAAAGTTAGTCAAAATCTAGATTTATGACAAATTGAAATTTTCCAATGTAATTCTAAAGGCCTGTTTAGACGATCCAATTTCTTGGACAGAGATTGATTGATATTGATGGAAACTTGTTTTGCTTTGAGCTTTGATCGTGTAAACAAACATCCAAGAACTTGGTCCAACTTCTTGGACGATAGTAGAGCATGTTCTACTTTCCATCCAAGTTTTTTCTCCCTTAACCAATCAGCGTCATAGGTTTTGTGACGTCAACAATCAGGCAGCAAATTATGTCATCTTCTTGTCTGTTTTCATATATTTTAGTACAAATAAATTGATCTGTTGCGGTTTATTTGTGTTATTATGATTTTATTTGAATTTATTTAGTAATTTTAAACTTATGTAAGTATTATTTTATAATGTTGAATATGAACAATACGCATGCGCAAGTTTTTCTTTCAACGAATCAGCGACATTCAAGAGCTTGGATAGTGTCAACGAATCATCCAATTTCTTGGACAGAGAAATCCGTCCAATTTCTCGGATTCAAGAAATTGAACCGTGTAAACAGGCCTTAAAGCAGAATAAAATTTTGTTGTGATTAAGCTCTTTTCTTAAAATATTCAGTTTTTTGTTTCTATAGCTTGTTTTTTTTTTTTTTTTTTTTTTTTTNTTTTTTTTTTTTTTTTTTTTTTTTTTTTTTTTTTTTTTTTTTTTGTCAAAGTCAAAAAATACTACTTTGTTTCCAATTGCTTACTTTAAAATGTTCAGACTTATGGGTATTTCCATAACTGTCCACAGTAGACTGACAATTAACGGGGATGATTGGGAAATGTCTTGTCCTGTATAATCGAATTTCCCAACTTATCAAATTCATGTGAATTTAAAACATTTCAAAAAATTTATTATTATAAATTATTAGATTCTATCAATGCTATAATATTTTACTGTTATATCTACAACTCTCTACTGGTGCCCTGCAAAGCATAGCTTTATCTAAACCTTCAGTTGTTGAAGTTATATCAAAATGAGGATAGGATATACTTTGTGCTACATTTGAATAAAGCATAAAAAGAGAAATAAATAAAGCATGATTAAAGTTACAGAAAAGGACATACTTTAAATTTGATACAATAAACAAAACCTTTTCTCTGTGTCTAAACACAAAATGACAAAAGAAAATTAAAGAGTGTGAGGTGGTTTGAGTAGTAAGGGTAGAGGAATAAGATTGAATAGGGTAATTAAAAAAAGGGAGGAGATTGTTGTTAACTGTTGAAACTGGTGTAAGGGCTCCGGTTTCAACCCCAGGGTACCAGATTAAAGTAGAAAATTTTTTAAAATTTGAAAAAATGGAATGCAGGAGCGATCATTAACTAAATTATTAGATTTTTTCAAAACATGGAATGATTCCCAGAAACCAAGGCCAGTTTCTTCTTTGATGTTTCAACTTTTTTATTTATTTTTGTCAGTTCTAGATAATCTTATTTTAAAAAATATTGCTAGTTGATCTTATTTCTAAAAAGTTTTGTTGTATTATTTTTATCCATTCTTTTCTTCCAATTTTCAGGTTCTCTAATTATTCTCCAACTTTATCTCCTCAAAAACCTTGGAGCCCCAGCGATATTGTTTCTCAGGTTGAACCGCCTCCTGGAGAAATGGAAAAACCATTGATTTCTCCTACTGCCAAAATTGTTGCTGTTTGTTTTCTGTTGCTATTTGTTTTTCTAGTTTATTATAATATGGAAGCCGCACCAACAGACCCATTCTCAAAAATAGAATCAAATGTTTAAAATGTGATTATTGTGCTTAAAACATTTTAGAGACATTCTAAGAAAATAACTTTACTTTTGCTTATTAATGTGTGTTTTAATTTTTCTTTTTAAAATTTAAAATTATTTCATTTGGAATGAATATGTATTGTAATGAATTGTAACTTTTGTATCACAAGAATATTCTTTCTTGACTTATATTGTATACTTATTTGTAAAAGAGTTGTATAAAAATATTCCTTATTCTATGATGAGTGTTTTATTCATCTGAATTCACTTGGCTGTTGTTTTATTAACTGATCTATCATTTCACATTGCAACAAGTCCCGCAGTGGACTGATCGTTAAGACACGGTTCCCAGCAGATCACCGAAGTCAAGCATCACTGGCTGCGGTTAGTGTGCGGGTGGGTGACCACTTGGATCAGTCTGCGTAGGGACCGAGGGTGTGCAGTATTGGTCCTCGTTAAACTGTGCTACCGTAAAGTGCTCGACTTCGCGCGCAGGTCGTCGGGCTACCGAAGCGGGGGCTACCCTGACCGTCGCCAATAGCCCATTGTGCAGCTCTAGTGCGACTTAAATTAACAACAACAACAACACATTGCAACAAGTGTGTATTGAAATTTCTCATCAACACACAACTTTCTCATTGGATAACAAGAGGTCAAAATGGGTTTTTGGCAGGAAAATAACAGGTGAAAGGATGACTTTAAGCATCACATATGCTAAGTTAGTTAATGTGTTTGAAATTAAGAAAGATCTGACAATGGTTCTTCCTTGGTCAGACCTTATTGAGTTAACTTTTTTTTGCACTCCTACAGTGTGCAAAATAAAAGGAACCCCATAATAACTTTTGATCTAATGATCAGATTGTCACAAACTAAGATCCGATTCGTCATGGTTTTAGGCCTACCCTTAAATACACTAAAATTTAAATTGTGCAAATGTTTTAATTCATGAATTCTTGCCCCAAAACATACTTTCTCTGAAAAAAAGCCCCCTTTTTAATAGGTTGTTGTTTTTGATCTTCAAAATATTGGGGGGGGGGGTAGGCTACAGTCTGAAAAATATGGTTCTAGCGATTAGGTTTGGAAGGCTGTCAAGACACTTCACTTTTTTGTTAATTTCATTTTTTGCGTATTTTGCTGTATTTCTGATCTGTCTTGCACCACCTTGAAGAAAAAGAACTGAAAGTGTTCCCTCTTCTAAAGGGTTACCTAATATTTTTTTAAGCATCAGCTTCTTTCCTTTACAGAGTATAATTATGAAGTTTTTCGTAAGACTTCCAGTCAAGATTATGTGTAGAGAGATCTTCTGTAGTGGCACTTTAGCACTAGTTTATGTAGTTTTGCATACTCCGTTTATAATACTGTTCGTCAGTTTTAGAGGTAAATAGGTCTCCAGTCTTGTTGCTTTTGCAGTAGCTTATGTCCCCGGATATAGTTTGTATTGCTATTCTTTCTTAAAAGGATCAAAGACTACCATAGAATTTCATACTTTATGATAATTCTATGTAAAAAAAAATTTTTTTAATTACATCATTTAGTTCAATAATTTTTTTAAAAAAATTTGAAGGTGCAATATAAGGATCATTTTAGACAATATAAATTTAGATTTTGAACTATGAAATTTTAACAAAATGTGTCAAAAAGTTTTTGAAGAATTTAAATTTTCTTTGAGTTATACAGAAACTATCAAATGTGTCAAGAAGTAAAAAATTGTTTTTTAGAGAATAGAATACCTTTTTTTATGTTTGATTTCAAAACTAAAAATATTGTCTTTATTTATTAGCATACTTATTTAAAATTAAACCTTCAAACTATTAAGATTATCAACTTGAAAAATTGATCTAAAAGTGTTTTGTTTTTTATTTTATGCATGTAACAATAATTTATGACATTAGAAATGCCTTGGTACATCATATTTTGTGTAAAAAGTAAAACTAATTAACGGGAATTTAAAATGATTTGAAGAGGGATAGGAATGTTCCTGTTTAGCATGGAAATGTTTCCTTAATACATAGTGCTACTTTTTCAATTTTATTTCTTTTAATAAAGATATGAGGTAAATAATTTTTACAATTATTTTTAAGTTGTGATATATTTCTTTGGAAAATTTTTTTTTTTTAAAAAATGTAGTATGAAGTGTTAAATCTTAAAAGAAAGATAACTTTTAGATATTTTAAACCTCGAAATGATTTTTCACTTTTTATGATAAATGGGGAAACTCAAATGAATTTTTTCTTTGCCAAGGCAAAACGGGTGATAAAAAAAAATGTAATCCTAGATTCAAGCGTCGTTTTAGGGACCGTTCTCACTGCATACAATTCATGCACGTCTATTCTCCATCGAGAGAGAAAAGAGCCATAGCTTTATTTGTTGGGGAGAGAAAAGGTAAACTTTATTTCATGATTTTTTTGCAGGAGAATATATTTCTCCAGCCAGGTACTCATTCTCTCCTTGATAGCGAATGAGGCTGTGTGAATTACATACAGCGGGAATGGCCATTTATTATCATGCCACACACCACGTAAAAGTTCAGAACGGAGTTGCTTTATTTGGTTCTTTAATATCACAGAAATAGGCTGGTAAAAACGTTTTTATCAAAATAAAAACTTCAATATTTTTTGGATCTTTGCATTTGCGATCCCAATAGAAAATACTTCTAAGAAATTATTGCTTCTGCTTAATATATTTAACACGGAATAAATAATTTCTGAAACGGCTGTTTCATTCCTTAATTGCGTATTTTAGTAGTCGTAAAATTTTTGGTGAGAAATTTTCCTCTTTTTTTTTACTTTGAATCTATTAATCAAGTAGAATCTTTTTTTTTTTTTCATTGGATCAATATAATATATACTATATCTTTTACCTTTTAGAATACATTTATCGTTACTCTTAGTTACATATCATCTTGCTTTGCTTGACGCATATTTATCCTTAGTTAAAGCAAGAAAAGGAAGAAAAAAATGTTCCTGTTATATGTCAACATATGATTTAGTGTCTTGTTCTATGATCCTGTTTATTAAACTTTTCTTTTTGAGGACTAAAATATATTCGACGGTAGGAATATAAAAAAAAAGACAATTAACCATTTCGTACTTCATAAATTTTTTGTTCAAAATTTTCTTTATGATATCTCTGCAAAGTTAAAATTTTTTTTATAATATCATTTATTTTTAATATGGAGGTGGAGAGTAGCAGTTGCTAAACATATTTTTTTTTCAATGAAGTTTCTTTTTTTGCTTTTGAAGAAGCCTGTTAGATACACAGAATGCCTCAAAATTACAACTTTTATACTTGAATTAAATAAGATCGCCATCTTTTGTTTCTGTTATTATTATATATATATTTTTTTGCAAGCAACAAAACTTAAAATGTATTTATGGTTTAGTTTAACTTTGTAATTTATTTAAAAAAAAAATGGATTCCAAATCCAAAATAAAAAATTGAGAAAATAGTGAATAATTACTGCTCTTAAATATAGTTCAACAAAGATAATGAAGACAACAATTTCATACTCAATATATTATGATTATTTAAAAACTAGTGCATATATGTTTTATTAAAATACTAAAAGAATTATTAATATTTTCATATAATAAATTTTTGTGAAAAGACAGTTTTTAAAAAATTATTTTTGTAAAGTGAATTTTGTAAATAAAATAAATTTTTATGGGGAGACCGTTTTTTTTCTTTTCCAAATTTGAATTTTGTAAATGTTTCTAAAAATTACCCTGATTTCCACCTGGTTAAATTCTTGTCTAATTTCAGTTTTCTTTTTTAAATGCATGTTGTAAAGTATGTACAAAAAAAAATTGTTTTGGATTTACTTTTTTAAATTACAGTAGTTCTGATTATGATACTTTTTACTTTGAATATTAATTGAGCAGACAAGGCCGGATTAACCATTAAGCACACTAAGCACGTGCTTAGGGCACCAGGGGATAGGGGGGCACCACAAAGCTTGACTAAATGTTAGGAGTATATAATGAAATTTTTTTTTGAAACATTACTTAAAAAATTTATTATTTTGAGTTTCCATTTTAAGAGTAGATAACAAGCTTTTCTAAGTATGAAATTTTACATAATAAAAGAAAAAAAAACAAAAGATGTTATGTATCAAAAATTTTTGGTCTTATAATTAAATTAGGTAGCGAATTTCTATGCGATAAAAGATCTATTTATTTATCCATTACAATGATTCCATAACATACTGCTACGATTCATGTTTACATAATATTTTTCGCAGTTGTAGCAAAGTTAATACTTCGTCAATTTGATTTTTTTATGTAAAAAAAGATTTATTTACAACATTTTGATGCAATGATTTGATGATGCAAAATATGTGATTTTTGATGTGAAAAAAAAACTGTATTATGCATGTTTGCAGTTTTTGTGCATGTTTTTGTTT